ATATATTTTTGCTCAAACGTGCGACCAAACTCAATTTTTGAAAGTGATTGATATCTTTTAGTATATAGACATCATTGTTACTGCATGACAAGCTTACTCGAAATAGTCATACGCGACATAGTTAACTATTACGAACTTGTTTTCAATCGTTATTTTTCTAAGTTTCACAAACCGCAAAACAACGACTATAGTAAGATTTTGGAATAGTTGTAACAAGTTTATGGTATCTTCTCATACAGCGCCCTACCATTGTTTTTAGTGTTACATATATTATTTACAAACAGGGTCAAGAACCTGGCAGATTGTAGCAATATTAATACCGCTAACGAATAATTTACGAGACTGACATCAAAAGCTAGAAATGTTCGTGGTAGGAACGTTTCATAGTATAATAACGCTTTCGTGTGTAGAAATCTTTAGAAAATATCCAGATGCATTTTTAATCACACAAATTATCCCTATGCCCTATTATATTATTATCATAATAAATATACTACATGTAGGCTTTAAATAACTACTTCTGCCCAACGTTGATTGAAGCCGCTTTGATGTATTTGGTCAAGCTGGATGAAACGCTTTTACAACATCATTGGAATAGATCAATTTCTATGTTTGCAGCAAAGGGCTACGAGTAAACAACGAACGAGTCGACTGTACATCTCAGGATGGCAATTTTATATAATATCGCAAATAATTAACCACACATATAATTTGGTAACACACTGATCGAGCACCATCATAATTACCTCAGCATGTGACCTGTACGTCCGGCCTGCTACTTCTGAGACAGCAGTTCAAGGTGGCTCATCCAAGCCACGGTTTAGCTGATAGAAGTTGAATCAGTCGGACACACTAGGAGTGACTGGAATGAATAAATCGTCTTGATAGGCTCTATGCCTACGGACCTATAGAACCGCCGAAGCTTGTACCTGTGCAATCCTGCTTTACCTGAGTTAAGATTAGTTGAATTGACACGGAGAAGTAGAAGAGCTAAGCAGAACAGGCTTAATGCCCTAAAGGCTACTTGCCTGACCTAATTTGCAATAGCAATAATACACAGACCTAATAGGACGTATCCATGATTTAGTATATGCCTAAAGTCACTCATATGCACAGAAACACCGTATATATATATACTCACGGAGCGTTTCTTAGGACTGACACCTTCTCTTAGAGAAAGGCCGATGACAGACAGGTCAAGGCAGCTGAGCCTGTATATGCCCGACGCTACCTGCGGTTTGCACAATCTAGTGCAGGTCGGCTCAACAGTACGGGCACGATCCCTACTGGCACAGTCACGCGTAGAAGATGGAAACGTAGCTCCGAACCGCTCAGAGATCCGAAGCCGATATGTGGTCCAACGCTTCAGTCTATTACTTGATGCTAGTTCTGTTGCTCTACAAGTCGACCGCTACTAAAATGTGATAAGGAAAAGCCGGCATGAAGTAACACACGTCAGAAAGATTGGAACATAAGCTAGGACAGAGAAGCAATCTAAATATCTGTCAATGTGCCTTAATTAACACAGCGCGGAAAGGATTAACGAGAAAACAAACCGTTAGCAGTTGAACGATTTAGCAGTCAAAGAAACTCTATTCGAATAAGCTAGGCAAAAAAAATGGACGAAAGAAGCTTTTAGGCATAGTCATGCCTCGCTGGACAACGGTCGGGCGTTAGCTGGGTGATTGTCGCCGTTGCTTTTCATTATGTTTTCTACAAACGTTAACTTTACATTTCTAACCCAAGCTACTGCATAGGGATTTAGAAAATACAGCCGCGCTTCTTGGCGATGTCAACTGGCATAGGGCAAAGCTGAGTGCTGCAAAATAGAATAGAAAAAGTACCAACTAAGAATACTAATAAAACGCATCAAGCTGTTAATCGTAGTAGTCAGCAATGGTTCCTTTTTAACTATCGTAATAACGTCCTCACGTTAAGGGGCTAAAATAGCCTTTTTTTTTTTTTTTGAGTCCTTAGGAAAATATTGCGTATGAAGATGGCGGCACTTTTCTTGTCGAGCCCTTAGGATGCATACTATACGAGGACAGTGTCCACGCGGTGGCAGCCGATCGGTAGCCGAGTTAATATATTAGTTCCTTGCTGCCAAAGGATCCCCAAGAAGCTAACGTTGTTGATCCCTTGGATCCTTCTAATTACAGTGTCTTAATGGAATGAATTTGACCAAGACAATTTGTTGAACTTAAATTATTTCAATTAAGAGAATTCTACACGAACCGAAACAAACAGTAGTCCGGTAGTGGAAGATCTAGGCTATACTGAGGATGTACTACAATTTCCCATGCAAGTTCTTTCAATTTTTTTTTGCCAGGTAGCTAAGTATATATGTAGTCTAGCTTCGTCACTATAGAAAAAGAAGCTTTGTCCATTAGTTCCCGTACTTTTCTTTCAATATTTTGTTTTGTTCTTTCCGCCAGGCCGTAGCAACTCATAATTCACGATTTCTTTCCAATCCCATCAAATATATAGCGTCACCTTCTTTAACGTCACCCTAAGTAGGCCATAAGTTAGGGAGGACCCTTTTTGCGCATTGTAGTTGCATATGATCTATTTTTCATCGTCAGTAGCCACTTGAGAAATAGTTCGATTTTTTTAGGCTTCTGTAGAGCTTAGTAGACGGTCCTACCATCGAACAGATTCCTTCGCGCTAATTCGCTGGCACCCAAACACTGGGCTTCTTTTTGTAGCCAGCTTTCTTAAAATGACTTACAACATTTTGAAAATGTATGTTTAGTTCCTTTGCAACTTTGTGGCTACTCACGTTCGATCTTGCTCCGCTTTCGCAGTAAGTTCATCAACTTTCTTGATGATTATTCGGCCACTACGAGGAGCATCTTTTGTATCGAAACTTCCGAAGTAAAAGCCTTTGGGCTGTGTTTTCTTTCTTTTTTCGATAACGCATTCTGGCCGTAAACAGCACACAGTTTTTCATGGGTTTAGGTAGCGTTTGTGGTTTTGTCCCATGACATTTTAAAATATATTATATTTATATTATATATATATAATAAGAACAATAAAATTAATTTTTACGGAAATTTCATTTTCGTTCCCAGGGAATTTGATTTTTTGTATGAGTGAATTCGGTCTAGCTGTTTTAGCGCATCTATTACTGCCAAATCGCAGTCAGATTTATTCGATCTGAGATACGTCGTCTTAAAGAAATGTATCTGAAAATTGTTAATGTTTTTCCGGCCATACAACATATAAGAAACGGACCCATTCAGAACCAATCCAAATTCATAGCCATTATCATACAGAAAAGCTGCTCACAATGAAGCACATACAGTGGGTCGTTCTAGGGGCTTAGTTCACAAATTGTAAGATGGCATTCGGCAGAAACTACTCATAGGAATGCCATGTACGTCTCTATAGCGCTATATATAAGTCACGGATTATTCAGTTTTGTGAAGGTCTTTTTGTGGAGTGCGTTGAACGATTGTTCCATGCAGGAATACTGCTGGGAAACAAATCTCTTCCTTTTGTCTAAATGGTAACATTTGGCAACGTATGTTATAGCTTGCGACAGTCTGTATGTGGTTGCTGGCAATCGTCAAAGACCTTAACCTCAATCGTTCGCCGACAACTCATTCGAGTGAAACGAAGGGGGTATTATAGCTTGTTTTATATTTTCTAATGTGATGCGCATATATTCTTTGTAATTCTGTTGTCAAAATTGTTCTGACAGCGTAACATTGCACGCAAGTGTACGATGAGTGTATGCGCTTATTGGATTCACCTCTATAATAAATAACCGAGCTCAAGTTATAAGCTGCATTTGAATCTGTTCACTACAGATCAGATCCCTATTGTGCACGAGGTATATGGACAAATAGCTAGGTGCCTCTTCTATTCCGTCTGTCTACGTCAGATACTAATGGACTTTTCATTTGAAATCGAACAATTCGTACCCCATAGACATACTCTATGTAAAATATTTATGGGCAGAAACCCACAAACATTTCACATAGTGAAAAAAGGTCAGCTCGAAAATGTTACTTTTCTGTGACAATACGAGTGAGATTGATTAAAAATTGAAATTGTTTTTAGCATAGAACAACTTCTGACTAGGTGCTTCCAGAGTGTCTGACTGTGGAGACTACTGCAACAAAACTGAATGTACGTAACCCTTATCGGACGTAGGCTGGATGCTATTGTTACGTACCGCGGTAGATGCGTTACCGCTGTAAGGGTACAACGCTTGTTTCTCTATATACTTCTAGTTTTTGCGTTATATATATATATATATATATATATACATATATATACATATAGGCATTAACGTGAAAAAGGAGATGGCTGGTGCTTTTATGAAGTCCTTTGGGGACTTTTACGTTGTTTGACATTATGCGGTCTGTTTGGGTGAACACACCGAGACGAAACAAGCAAAAGCTTACCAATAACGGTAAATTGTTTCCTACGTCAAGGATTTTTGCTTTTATCATCTATTTTACGACCATAAATAGAGATTTCACAAATACTCCTGTGAGATTAGTCGTTCAGAGTTGCTATGCGGATACCTTCGGCAACGCTTAATTGTAGAGAGATAATATTTCCGGCTTTGTGTCAACATCTGAGGCAATTAATAGTAGCCAGCAGTTAGACGGATACGTACTTCCCAAAGCTTATAGTAGGTAGAGACTGGATCAGTTCTCGGATTTTAGCTGAAGTGAATTTCTGATTCATATTGCGAAATTACAATGTGTGCTCATTGTTTCTAAATTAGAGGAGTTATTTTCTAGCATCCCTCGATAGGCGTCTATACCGATGTGGATGCCTATAGTCCAGAACACCCCATGACACTGCGATTTTAATCAACGAGTGTCGTCCGTCTATTTTTGTTTAGGTACGGGTAGTCCTACAGACGCGACGAGTCAGGCAATGTCAATAACAATTCTGGGCAGAACAGGTAGTAGATAGAAAGGTTTGCCCCTGGCTTATTGTAGTAACAATTTCTTTTTTGTTTTGTCTCTCTCTTTGGGCAGGTGGAGATTCTCTTGTACAAGCGCAACCGAAGTCCACTTTGGCTATTGTTGCACGTAGCGCCGATCAAAAACGAGAAGGATCTCGTAGTGCTGTTTCTTCTCACGTTCCGAGATATCACCGCATTGAAGCAACCTCTGGACGACGAGGTAGCGAAGGCGGGTTTGTCGAAGTTCGCACGCCTCGCACGCTCCGTCACCAGAAGTCGGTGCGTGCAAAATGACGGTTAAATATCATTCCGCAGAATACAAAATAGAAAAATTAGGCATCGTTTAAATTCATTTTCACGCAGAATCACAATCAAGCTAAGATACTAACTAAGATTGATAAGGAAATAGTTCTGTGGATCTCTTTCTTCTATAGAGAACCTCAAAATACTACAGATTGGTATTCTTTATTTGATAATCCAGTCTCGGATCAGTATAAGAATTGGCCTTGTAAAGGTGTATTTAACCTAAGTGCGAAGAAGGCTAGCATCCTGATGAAGCTAAAGCACCCCCCTAGATTTCGATTGTAGTAGACAGTTGTTAGAACATTAAGTAAAAGGTGATTATTTGAAAAAATCACCGTCTAACTCTTCCTGTACGTGGTCATGGGTTTTTGTCATCGTCAAAATAACAGTTGTTAATTCGCATTTATATATCCGTTGACAACTCATAAGTAAAAAAATAATGATAGAGGAAGGTGTGGAGCGCTTGAATAATTGGGTAAATGTATAATTAGGAGCAATCGTATAAATATACCTAGAACTCAGCATATGGATCTATCATCAGTGCTCTGCAAAGAAGAGTCTGGGCAATATTTACCGGCCTACCTCTAAAATCTATTTAAGTGCCACAAATGCAGTGCAATGCCATACGTTCGAGTGGCGCTAAACTACTCATAGTGAACCGGTCTATTATCCTTCAGAGAGGTAAGAGCCACCCGTCGGCTGTTATTCATCGAAGCTTGAACTTCTGAAGTTAGCGCACTTCTGCCCATTCGATTGACGCTCATCTTCAGCATCGCGGCGTCTTTCAGTTTTATAAATACGAGATGAGTCTCACTTGCAACGGGTCCCGTTTACCAGAACGACCATTTTGTGACTACTAATTGGAAAGAAATAGGCCGGAAAACTATTTCTGTTATTATTTTATGGAAATTATGCCCTACTCACTATAGATCGGTGCTCAACATTCTAGATATCACCTTTTATCAACCTTATCACCAGTTCTATGTGGTTTTGTGTTGTGTTCTATGTGGCTATAGTAAAAGTGTGGGTATTTCCAGCGTTTGTGATTGTTGTTAGCGAATAATAATTATTGCGACTTATTATAGAATTTTCCTCTAGGCGAAAGTACTAAATCAGGCACACTTAGAATACGTATGCGGTGAGGTAAAGTTTACGAAAGAAAAATTGGCAGGTAACAAAAAGGACTAACTCTTCCCAACAAAAACTTTTTTGTCGTTATTTTTACCTGATTGTGGACTTGTGCGGGATTCGATTGTGAGCCCTCTTGTAAATTCACCTCTAAATACTTATTATCCATTGTTCGAATCCTATGAAATTCGCGTATCCTAAAAATAAGTTTCCAACGTTCCTTTTTTTCTTGTGTGCCATAGGGTTTAAGCAGACCCTTGTCGATTATCTTTGTTAAGACAGCGGCCTCCATTCCAGCAGTTTACTTTGTCACATCGTCTTACGAATATTGTCAAAGAAGCTCCGTCTTCTTTTGGTGACCTCTGGCGTTCTGACGCAACTGGGTAATGTTATTCTTCTTTGGACAGCGGTCGACAGCTAAAAGAGTTTTTCCTTAATCCCGGCAATTACCTTTTGGTGAGGTTAATTGGCGATCGATTCCTGTAATTGGTGGTAATAATCACCTAGGCAACTCCGCTATTAAATGAAGCCATTCTCCACGACATGAAGACTAAACCGGCCTAATAGGCCCACAGAATCCGTTCGTTCGACTTTCTAAGATGGCGTAAACGGAACCGGCTGTTAATGCTGATGTTTGGCGTCCTCCATTTCAGCCAGCGAAATTGTCTTGCATTTTTATTCCTGTAAGAGGCTGTGAGCTGCTAAAATGCCCTGCAAGCCATGTCAGCGTACCTGAAGAGACCATGGAAACAAAGAAACCATAGAGATCCTGCGCGAGTCTCAGCAGTGGAAACTCTCTTATGGAATTGATTGGTTGCAACTAGACCTAGCCAAAATACCTTCTGCCCAATCCCGTCAAGACCAAAGGCTGCCGCTGAAAAGTGCGGGAAGCTGGTCTGTTAGCTGACAGTATCGAGTAAAGTCCTGCAATGGATCATCTCTTTCAGCTTGAACAGTACACGTACGCAGATATATAATACATACGCAGTAAATATACGATTGTCCTGAACACTGAGTGGCACAAAGGTTCCATTGTTTTAGCTCGTACAGCTCTGACAACGCGCTGTACCACAGATGTAACCGTGAATGATTTAGTGTCTTCTTTCTGTGTACCATGTATACGGTAAGAGTTCATGAAGGATTTGGAATATATTTTTGCACTTTCTGGGTAAACACTGCACTGAATTTTTGAAAAAACTTTTTAGTGTACTGAGTGTTCAATAAGATATGATTATGCTAGCACTAGACGTTTTCAACGGTTTTCAATACCAGCAAACATAAAAGTCTGATCCAAGGATATCGGATCACTGTAAAAACACTGTACACTCTGGAAAACACCTGATCATTGGGAAAAGGGCACTGAAGCTGTATATATTCCAGATGATTGTCAAAATCTTTAAAATTGATTTAATTTATACTGGACATTGTATACGTAAATCAGTAGTTTTTGAGCTTTGACGTGGCAACTTGTAGCTTTCACGCCGCCCACACTTGGGATACGAGACGATGCTTATTCTGTCCTGCCCCTGCAGCTCAGGAACTGAACTGATCGACGAATTCGTAAGGCCAATTCTGTTGCTAGTTCAAGTCTTAGTCACACTTTAGGTTATGCACAAATCTAAAATCGACAAACCTTGCTTATAATCCGCATTGCGCGTTTACACGCTAGCAGTTCCGCAAGTTATTTAGCCACGCATGCTATCCCATATACGGACAGCAGTTTCCCCCAGGAATTTTCCGCGCTGACCGCAACGCACTGCCATTGCGCAAAACCTGCGCTTGGTATCTTTTTAAGGTTCTTCTTTTTTTTTTTTTTGGCAGCAGCCTATTTCTATCACAGGGAAACGTTGCGCGCTTCCATAGAACGTCCCTTGAAAAACCGTTGTTACGAACAACTGATGCCAACTGAAACCGAGTGAGGCCCAGGGCCTTACTCACGATGAAAGAAGAAAACAAATAATATTTTCAGTGTACAATGAGAAAGTGTGACTGCGAACCGCCACAGGACAAAAACTGTCATTTGCCTACCGACTGGCTATCATAGGCCGCCGTCGATCATTCCCGCACAAATATTGAAACGCTGGGCAGAATCGGGCGAAGAAATTTTTCTTTTGTCTTGTTCTTAGGTACAGGACATGAGACATGCAGTGCCCGACCCCTTATCGGAAAAAAAACGTTACCATTATTACATCGCCCATTTGCCCGGCGTTCCGTTGGGTGGTGGCCACAACATCGGCCAGCTTCGATGGCACCAATAATTAGCGTAGAGATGTTGAACACAACAGATACTTACTCGCTGTTAAGACCTTATTGAAGAAAAGAAACACGCGCCCGAGCAGGCACGAGGAGATACTTCGGGATTTTATCAGCCCTTTGTCGTGTGCATTGGTATCAAAATAGAGGACGCTTGCGCCAGTATCCGCAGCAACGGATACAACCTCCGAAGATATGTGGACAATTTTGGCAACACTTCGAACTTTAACCATTTTCTAGTCATCTGCATAATGGCTACATTCAATGGTCCAGTCGGCTAGGAAGACGTACACTTCGAATAGTTTGGCAGCATATATTTGTCAAACAATTTCTAACTTTTTGCACACAATCAGATGACGCAGTGCTTCGTGGTGCTTCGAGAACTGATTTAAATAATGTCACCTCTCAATGGCGACTTTCCGCCGCTGGCAGGAAGCATTTTGATGATGACAATCGATATTTTTACGAAGTTAAATAACAACTTGTGTTGACAGGATGCATATTATATATGTGGTCACAATTAACTTTTATGTAGTAGTTTTTTTTTTTTACTCTCTCGGCTTGTCGTATTGCGCGAATAAGCTTTCAGGATCACCGCAACTTTTATAATAGTTACTGTATATAATTGTTGAGGCGGTTTTGTTTGAGACATTGCGCATACAGCAAATTATATGTTTATATATTCGCCTATGCTCATTAACAAACACACATGTCAGGGACTCGCTGTTGAAACCCAAATGTTAAAACATAAATTGCCCGAACAAATTACAGTCTTACAATACCCGTAAAATTATTTAGAGCTTTTCCCAGCTTGACATTCTACATCCGATATTCGTGTAGTACGGCCTCTGTATGTCGGTGCCCCATAAGTGTATCAGTTGTACGTTTCAACTCGCAAACGTCAAGCGGCACGGTCATAATACTCGTTCCTTAGGCCTTACATAAGCCTCCGGCGGTGAAGAACAGGAAGAAAAATTTGAAGAGTCTACTATAGCATAAATAAGCCACCTTTATCCCCATCGAATATCAGCTTAAGCCCAGAACAGCATATGTCAATGTTGTAGAACCAATGAAGATATCAGATTGGTAACACTAGACGCTTCTAATCGAACGTGTTTTTGAATTCGCGATGTTATATATACCACATTTTATTTTCTTATTTGTGTTTTGCTCACTCTTTACTTTGTTTTGGCAAAAGCGTCTCCATAAGACGAATACTTTCTTCAAATATATGCGTATTCACCTTATAACAGAGCCCATACAATGTCAAGTACGTAACCCCAAATAATCCATATAGGTAAAGTACCATCGACTCTTTATTATGATCCTCGAATTATGGTCCTCGCAGAAGAAAACCCTTCGAGCGTCATGCTTGCGAATATAATGGTGATAACTAAATGAAAATCGAACAATCGGTAGTTATTTTGTCTGTCTAATATTGTAGAATCAAGATTAGCAATTTTTGCTTCCTTCAGCGCCATCTTTAGCATAGAACAGAAATTATAGCTGGCAACCTAAAAGAATGATCTGAGGTCTACGTCCTGAAGGGTAGAACAAATATTGTTCTGTCGGGTTGTCGATTCCTATTAAGGCAAGCCAGTGGTGAAGGGCAATGGAAGAGTAAGTAGCACTGGGTAATTGTGGGGAATCTCAATCAGGCGGCTTCACGGTGGTCAGCCAAAACAGAATTACGACAGTTGCTAAATAACCGCTACATGACAGAACCATTGGAAAGCAGGCTGGCTATCACCTGGGTCCTGGGCTGGCAAACCTGACTCATGTCACTATGTTCCAAACCGCTCAGCTGCCTGACAGAGCAAAATGGATAGCTCGGAACTCCAGTTAGTTAATGGCAATTGACATAGCTTAAAACCACAATGCGCCGTCATAAAACGTAGATTCAGCTATGCGACAGCAAATAGTTTACGGTCTGAATGCGTTCTTACACGCAGACGAGCCTGACTGGTCCTACTGGTTCGTACGGCCTCGCAAAATCATACCCAAACCGTTTTTCGTATTATTACACCGGAGTCTTTTGTTCATTGTTTATATATATATATACAGACAATAAACACTACTATATACATATATATATACCTTGCTCTAAATGTGGTGGCGAGCGGCCACTTACTCTCTTTGGCATAAAATGTTAGTACTGCGGTAGACTCACTATAGAGTGGATGACATGACCGTTACTGTCAAATACAGCTACCGCTATAAAAGGTAGAGGCTTGACGCCTGTAACGCAGTTTCATGTGTGGCTATGAGATGTACCTAAACATATGGATACGAAATCTTACGTGAGTAAACTGGTCGTGAAGAAGACAGCAGTAAGAACAAACATCGTGGACAGTACCGTCACCCACACGCATCTGGGTATCGACTGTTTTTGCTGTTCGCGACTATAATTGGGGAAGCGCAGTTGCATCTACTTGGCTCTGTCCTGCTCTTTTAGCAGGTAGACTCACATCCGCCGTTTATCCGACACATGAAAGGATCTCCATAAAATTTGTAGCTCTGAAGTGGCCCCGGCACAGTGTGACGAAGCGATCCCGCTACCCGTAACCGAACAGCATGACAAGCGGGAGTAGTTTAATCCGCGCATCTGTTATCCCGCGTTCCATATCCCTTTTACACGAAACAACTCTTCGGGTTTAACTTATACAAGTTCTACGCTTCTGTTGGGGTATCATTCTTCACATAGATATACGCGAACGACTCATCTGAATCAGCAATGATTCATCTGAATAAGCTAGAAAAACAATGTTAAACAGAATTATAATTCGGAGGATCGACTAATGCACTAACGAAGATCCTCTCTTAGCAAGGCGTGGCACATTCCTATGAATCATTTGATTTTTTTGTACGGCAGCTCTCGTTGATTGTTTCAGCTTAAGGCACACAAAAAAGACTCCATCTTACATCGCAATAGGGATTTCGTATATTACTTTCCATAGAAAAAATACTAAAAGCCAAATAATCTTGTTAGTTTTATCATTCAACAATTGCAGGAGGAGCTTCAATATGACGACAAAAATTTTGCCCATTACAACTCAGCATCATTACAAAACGTATAGTCGTTTCTACGTATTGGATTTGTTTTTTCTAAATAGAACCTCTTTGTTGCCATGCGGACATGATAGCATAGCGGCGTGTAGCCAAATGTAAAGAAACGGGCAGACCCAAGCGATCGATACTGCCCGTTTAACAGTTCATCGCTTTGTTATACCATGCATTCTTCGTCACACAGCATCAACCGTTCCCTCCACAAATGACAGCTTCGAAGAGGCTCGATTCATGTAAATGTGTCGCTATCTGTTGCTTGGTTTCTCTGCTGTTGTTTTCCAGATCGGTATTGGTGCAATTCTCCTCCCATTTGCCCGTTGCCATCAAGAGCGAGCACAGCTCGAAGCAATCGCAAATCGCGCACATGATGAGCCTCAACGCAGAGGTGCTACCGCAGTACCGCCAGGAGGCGCCCAAGACACCCCCTCATATTTTGCTACACTACTGTGCCTTTAAGGTAAGAACGAAACAAACAGAGAAAAAACGTCAACTTAACCGAAATAGCAAAAATTGATAACAATCAAATAGAGGCGGCGTGTTCAGCATCTAGCCTCGTCATAGGCTACACTAGACACACGCTTGTCCACAATATACGAGCTGGGTAAAACGAAATAAAAATAACTCGTGTTAGATTTTATGGGCCAAGGAAGAGAATTCGAAAGGGCTCAACGGGTTAGTGAGTGTATGCCCAAGCATTTGACAAAATTAGTGATCAGTTGTACTCATTCCCCAATAAGTTTCCATGTATCGAAAATTGTCCGAGCTTCAGAGTTTCTCGTCTATACGGTTTTCTACATGATGTAGGATCAATGGCATATTTCTTTATATTTATTAGAGTTATTTATAAGAGCACATGTTGTCTAGAAGCAAGGAACGCTAGAAAAAAATAACTATTTCCACGTAGAGTCTCTACTCTTGAACGACAGTGGCTTCGAGGATAGCAGAAGCTGCTACAACAATAAGATTAACAACAGTGCAGACGGAAGGCGAGTGCCGTGCTGGTCGCGGTTGCTAGAATAACTGTGAGTCCGGCGGTTTTCAGCCTGCCCGGGAAGAAATTTCGATGGTGCGCCTGCATAATCCCCAAAACGTAGTCTCCATGGCTGTATTTTGGCTACAAGGCATCAACGAATCAATGGAAAAAGAACAAACTTTTGAGAAAGAGAATTAAAAGCCGCTATTAACAGAAGCGGTTGGAAAGAAAGGCCGCAGGAACGGCCACCGACTATCGTAGCTGAACAAGGACAGGACAAAAAGAAGTTATGTCGCCAAAGCAATAGCAGGGTCGACAGCGTGCCGGTGACAGTACGTAAAGTAGACGGTGAATAATAATGCCCGTGAGGACTGCGTATGGGCCGTTGGGGGGCCGTAAACGACGCTAGAAGCAAACTAGTAGCGCAGGCGTCTGTTTTTGTTCCATCGCAAGGTGTGGAAGAGGGGATCAGCTTAGGATGGAAAACGAACCACTATCAGTCGCTGCGGGCCTGGTGGTACCGTTCTTACGTCAAATCTGTGCCTAACAGCAATAGAAGCAATGGAAAAGAAAATGTAAGGAAAAAAAGAAATTACTTGTTCTGTACGGCATACTACCACCATGTTACTAGTACCATACCAGCCGCTGTTCTACTCTAATTTTTCGTGCTGGTTTCGCTCAGTGCAGTCTTGCCTGTCGAGCTGCCGGCCCCCAAGCAGCAACAGGTCGCTCTAGGTCGTTTGCAGCTCGAGACACCAGTCACAAAAACAGCCTAAGTGGCGGTAACAGCAGTGAAGTGCACTTATGATAAATGCCCTAGGGGGGCAAAGCAGAGAGAAAGAAGGTGTTTATGCTATGTTAAGGCTGATTTATTATTTGTTTAGGTTCTGAAACGTTTGTGGTTCGCTGTAAACTGATTAAGGAAATAGGCAGTAAGCTTGTTTAGTAATATGTATTAATGGATAGTGTGTAGCAACAATCATTATTTCTGAGCAATAAGAGGGTGATTGTTATTATTTTACTGTCTATATATTACTAAGTTCAACGGAAAGAGGAATCGAGGAAGAGGACATGTTTGAATATTGCTTTTATAATAGCAGAGTGAATGTGAATATACGAATACTAGAATTATCGTAACTTTGTTCAACGACGCTATACAGGACTACGTGCTACCGAACCTGTCTCGCACATGTTCGGCCATAAGCTCGCTCCACATGGACCGTATTTTTACGTGTAAATGAGCGATTATCTCTGAATGTATCAGTTAACAGAATAACCTAATAATTAAAGTGATTAACGGCCTGTGAAGGATTCAAAAAATAAACGGGTGAACTGGAGATAAATGGGATACTTATATATTATACATAGGGAGATAACACACACCCGCTCAATAACCCAGTGGCCTCTGTCAAGGTGACACGTAGTCAAACTCGATTAGGGTCCGTAACGCAAAAAAAAACCTGCATCTGCGTCGAATAGTAGCAGAGCTATAACTTGGAGAAAAGTACGTCTCTAATTTGGAAAATAACGCATGCACCGTTCTTATGTCTTATGTCTAAATTTACCAGTACCAATGGCCGTTTGTTAATAACAATACTACTACTTACCACAATACCCTCAAATTATCCCATAATAACCCAGATAACAAAATTCTATGTGCACATACCTCCTGCTCGTACCTTTTTCGTGGGTTTATTCTTTAGGCGATCTGGGATTGGATCATACTTTGTTTGACCTTCTACACGGCAATAATGGTCCCATACAACGTTGCGTTCAAGAATAAAACGTCAGACGACGTTTCGCTGCTCGTGTTGGACTCTATCGTCGATGTGATCTTCTTTATCGACATCGTTCTTAATTTCCACACGACATTTGTGGGTAAGCTGGGTTGAATTTGTACTAGCTGCGATTATCTCGGTTGCTGCAAAAGCGTGGCACACGCTTGTCTCCACCTTGTCTCCCCTGCTTATTCTTTAGATTTCCTATGAAGCAATCAAATAAGACATAGGTAACTAGATCGATTAATTTTAGTATAAGTTTATTTACTTTCTGTCATAATTGAGCGAGCATCGTAAATGGCTTTCAGTGACTGAGATTGCTATGGAAATTTTGTTGCAAAATAGTCAGACCTGAATCTACCTTGAATGAAACAAAATCAGCGATTGATTGATACCTTCGGTATAATCGTTGTGTCCGGTCACGTTCTTTTGCGGGTAACAGGTCCTGGAGGCGAAGTAGTTTCTGATCCAAAGATCATACGAATGAACTATCTCAAAAGTTGGTTCACCATCGACTTATTATCCTGTTTACCGTACGACGTATTCAACGCGTTTGATGGAAGTGAAGATGTAAGTAAAAAATTTATGTTAAATCCAATGCATAGTATTTGATTTGTGTGTTGTAACAACAACAACCCACCGCATTCGAATGTATTTCACGGGGCGGTGCCCGCCAGTTGCGTAACATGGCCCAGCTATATATCTATCGATAAGCGACCCAAACCCAATGCCCATTTGTGCACCTGTCCGTATGTAATGTTCTTTACTGCGGGAAATGAGTTAAGGTCAAATAGAATAGAATCAATACCATAAGCTGCACCCCCTCTTGCATCCCCAGTCGTACCTATCGTCACGTATCGATGAGCGCAGGTCGAAGCCTATATGCAGGTTAAACGTCTATCTAAACATAACGTAACTGTTAAGCATAGAGTATATACGAATTTTCGTTGTTATCTATAGAGAAATGAACAAAGTTGCTTTTGTTATTATCCGCATAATCTATACCTTAACCGTTAACAACTGATCCCAAGCTGATTTCGGTGGTTGAAAGAGTTTTTCCTCTTTCGTTTCGAGTTTCTATGTGTTCTCCACAATGTTTCCAAGAGAGCATTTTTCTTTGCATTGTCTCTGCTTAGCTAAACCTGTCGAGCTGTCTCTCTCGCTTGTTATGGGTTTCTTGCCTTGTTCATTTCAATTGCAGCAACAAGGCATCGGGAGTTTGTTCAGTGCCCTGAAAGTAGTGCGACTCCTCCGACTAGGACGGGTTGTCCGTAAGCTGGATCGTTACCTAGAATACGGTGCTGCGATGTTAATCCTGCTGCTATGTTTCTATATGCTTGTCGCGCATTGGCTCGCTTGCATTTGGTAAGTCCTTTGCTTTAGCATTCGATAGCGTGCACTACATGTAGGTCTATATATATTGTATTAGACATAGATAATAACGTTGATAGATGAAATTAATATGCTTTCCTTCAGTCAGGTTAAATCGTCCAAGATCTTAGTAACCGTCGATTGCGTGCTAAAAACTAAGCTACCGATGAATCTTCTTGCATATATATATATAAAAGAATGGGCCAGTTTTAACCTTACTTGGCTGACGTCACGTTCGTCGAACGTTACATTTATCTCAATTAACTTCATAGGTACTCGATCGGACGTAGCGACGCTGAAAATGGTTACACCTTCAGTTGGCTATGGAAGTTGGCGAACACAACGAAAGAAGAGTTCCGATTTGGCTACAATGGAGAGAAGGTGGAGCTAAAGGGGGGCCCGGCCCGAGGGACGATGTACGTTACCTCCCTTTACTACACCATGACCTGCATGACCTCGGTCGGCTTCGGCAACGTCGCCGCGGAGACCGACAATGAGAAGGTAATGAAAAAGCTTGTCGACAAAATGCTGGCCGTTTCTAAGACAAAAGTAAAGGAAGTATTTTTTCACAGTTGAAAATAATGAAACAAGAGTAAATATGCGCCATTTTGAACGACGACGTTTGGTCGTACTTCGCCAATGATAATAATAACAAGTGATTTGTGCATCTCACCATTAAGATTACACTATTGAAGAAGTCCTGCACAGTCTGATGGTTGGCCTGTAAGACGGATACATTGAAATGTACCACCCAAGTTATTTAAATTTTCCGCTGATAGCTAAGACACACGTGATCTGGCATTGTCATAGTGCAAAACAGCGCGTTTCCTATTCACCGATATGAATCGGCTGTTCCTAATTCCGCGCCGGCCCGAATCGTCAAGCGGCCGTAACCTATAAGGCACGATTCTTTCCAGCTCCACCAAATACATGGCACTAGCTTGCTTGACGTCAATAGGGACTAGGTTCCTTTGCAAAATTGTCGGTGATTAAGCACTCTAAATATGGACTGGTTTCATTGCATTTCTTTAGGGTTTCACAGATGAAAGTACCATGCAGTAAATCCCTTTGCGTCGATTCGTGTGGCAGTCGAATATCAGACTCTTATTTGTACCCTGCTTTTTTTTAAATTAGTTAAAAGACGTTCAATGCCTTAGGGATGTCATGGCTACTTACGTATTTTTGCTAGTATTTTATTAACTTTCCTTCGGAACTGATCGATTACTGAGAGGGTCATCTTTTACAAGCAGACTCATTGAACTAAAGTGGCAGAACCATCTTTGGGCCCTTTCATCTGATGGCTGGTGTTGACTCTGCTAGGCCTAATCAACATCTGTACCTGTATTCTTATAGAATTGGAAATATAGCGAACTTCACTCATCTTCAAGGCGATTGATCATCCTAAATATGAACAGAGGCATTACAGCAATTTTAGTACATCTACTACCGCCGAACCCCAGCTATCAAATGATGTGAACGCCGATCTGATGTGACCCATAATACTTCAGATAAAATGTTTTTAATTATTTTAATCTTCGTTTTGGAAATGAAAAATAGAAGACTAATCGATCTTAGATATATTCCGGGATGGCCTTTTATGGCTCTTTTGTTTATTCTGCTATTTGCCAAAAATCGATACCAGTTTTATTATTAGTTTGGCACTCGTAGCTTTCTTTCTAAGTATTTGCTCTGTTGCAGGTGTTCACAATCTGTATGATGGTGATAGGCGCGTTACTTTATGCCACGATCTTTGGACACGTAACGACAATCATCCAGCAGATGACCTCGGCCACGGCTCGCTACCATGAGATGCTCAATAACGTGCGTGAGTTCATGAAGCTGCACGAGGTGCCGAAGGCTCTCAGCGAGCGCGTCATGGACTATGTCGTGTCCACATGGACGATGTCCCGGGGCATCGACACGAGTAAAGTTCTTGGCTACTGCCCGAAAGACATGACGGCCGACATCTGTGTACACCTAAACAGAAAGGTCTTTAACGAACATCCGGCGTTCCGGCTCGCGTCGGACGGGTGTCTGCGTGCGCTGGCCATGTATTTTTCTATGGATCATTCGGCGCCTGGTGATCTCCTTTACCACACCGGAGAGTCAATAGATACCTTGTCCTTCGTGGTGTCCGGCAGCCTCGAGGTCATTCAAGACGAAGAGGTCGTTGCCATTCTAGGTCAGTAGCAGCATGAGCGAAATAATTCTAACGAAACAAGGACTTTGCATCCAAGTAAACTATTATAGTAATGGATTATAGAAACATAAACTCGAAGGCTTCAAAAGTAGCATGTATCATCGTAACTGTATCCTTGGCAATCGATCAGTCAAGTCTAATCAGCTCCCCGAGTTGAACAGCAGTAGTCAAGTAACTCAATCAATCTTAGCTGACTAGTTTCGTTAGATTTATATTGACAACTTATCCGGTCTGATCATTGCTTGTCGGACCATTGACGCTGTGGGTTGATTCTTCAGGGAAGGGGGACGTGTTCGGGGACTGCTTTTGGCGCGAGCCGACGATCGGCCAGAGCTGCGCTAACGTACGAGCGCTTACCTATTGCGACCTTCACTCAATCAAGAGAGACAAACTGCTCGAAGTTCTCAATTTTTATCACGCATTCGCAAATTCGTTTGCCAGGAATCTTCTATTGACTTACAACCTCCGTCATCGGTTGATATTCCGGAAAGTGTCCGACGTGAAGAGGGAAAAGGAGCTTGCGGAACGTAGAAAGAACGAACCACTCCAAGAATTGAGCCAAGATCATCTTGTTCGAAAAATCTTCTCAAAGTTCCGCAAAGGTAAGTGCACGCTGGAACGAGCATCAGGTGGTCTGAGTTAACCCCTAAGCAGAGTTGGGACATCGGGACGATAGTTAAGACCAAAAAAAAAGTTAAGATGAGTGGGTCAACAACAGCTACTGCTGGCAATGTTTACCCGCTTTGGTTTCTAACTAATTTGCAATTAAATCTAACCCAATGCCAGGCCTAAGTTTGCAAGATACCTTCTAGCTATAATCATGAATGACCCTGATATTTCATTACAACACCTTATGCTGCTGTCTGTTCTTCTCATTGTGGCTTGTTATTGTTGCTTCCGTCGTCGTTGTTGTTGTCGGTGTTCCTGTTGCTGTTGTTGTTTTCTTTTTCCTTCTTCGTACAGCCTCAACCGTAGACCAGCAGCACAGACCGCCTTCGATTGACCTCGAAAAAGGCAACATGGCGGCATCGTTTCCAGCTGGCGGAGAAACACCCGCTTCGAATCACCCAGCAGTCCATCACCCACCCTCAACCCACTCTCTACCCCAGCGCAACGTGTCGATTAATGTGAGCGAGCCCCCCGGCCAAGCGGGTGGCTTGCACCCTGCTGCACATCACTCTACTCCGCCTACGGGCACACAACCCCCGCCGGTAGGGGGGCCTAAGCTGTCCCGGTGGGCCTCGCTCCGATCAGACTCCAAAGACTCTACAGCACATACGCCTACACCGGCAGCTGTGGCTCAGCAACCGGTGCAACAGCAACAGGTCGGCGCGCAGCAACAAGTTGATTTTACTAACAAAGTATGTAGGGAAAATGTACAGCTTACATGTTGTATAACGTAATGGATCTAGGGTGACTGCTCGGCAATGTTGGGGGGGGGGGGGGGGGGTAGGCCTAATATACCGACAGGTACTTTCGACCATTATTATCAATTTGAAAAGGATTGACTTGTTAGTCGATTTTTTTGCACTCACGTAAGCGAGACAATTTAGCGGTTATTTGTATTATTGTGCATGCTGCCATAATATGGAAAAATATATTTAAAAAAATGTATATCTAAAAACGGCATTTTTCATCGTGGTCGATTTATCTCCGTAGAGTGAAACGTTTATTCGCTTGTACCTAAGTTAAATATTTCGACTTGAAAGAGCAAACTCCCAGATAACTGTTCTCTAGTAATTGCCACAAGTTCTAAAGTAGACTAAAAGCGTTGACTGAGGCAAAAAGGGGCCGCGCGAGGGAAGGGGGTCAATATTAGTACAACGTATTGTTAGAATTTTGGTGCTATCCTGAAACCAAAAACAAAAGAGGACAGAGGAGCTTTTTCTGGCCGCATGAGTCCGCAGTATTAACCGCTCCATATACTTTATAAAACGAAACATCTGCAGGTAGGGAGATAACAATTACTAAAAACGAACAAGAGGAAAATTAGCAGTATAAAAATGAAAACCATGACGGAAGTTGTTTGTATGATGACGCCTGATCAACTGGCTAATTTACCTATTTTATCGAAACATCAATTTGAGTTACTGCGATTAAAGTCCCTTAGCACGATGATGTTGACTGTCAAGTAGTAAGGATTATATAAGACCACACTTTGCACTGAATGTCCAGAGAATAATTTTCCGTTGACACGAACCTCTCACCATGTTGTGTCATTTCCTATTCATTACAGGAGAATGCTGATACTGGCAACGTGATGAAATCCGGCATTCAAAAGATAGCGGCTGCCCCTGTGGGTCAACTGACATCGACTGGACAAAGTGGCGGCCAGCAAGTTCAGCTCTCCCAGCCCTCAGCAGCGCTCCGATTTTCTAAATGGGGTGCGATTGCGTACTGATTTAGGCACCTAAACTCGATGCCACATACGTCAGTCTTTAATATGATGTTCAATATAGTGTATTCCAGTAACTGTTTGAAATGGTCAGTCCGTGAGCGCCTATACCATTGGTTGAAAGCTTCTGGAGAGAAAGGCCGGCTTTTTCGGGCCTAGTCCGAAACATTGCTCTTTCGAGCTTATAAGCTTTCCTGGCACGCACGAGCCCTATTATCATTTTTGTTAAATAATACAATAGCACATTGATGTTCAGCGCATCGTAATGGTTTGCTACCGTAGCATAACGGTTGGATAATACCAAACACCTATTCAGTTTTGTTAAACGGAGAGTTTCTTGATAACTGTTTTCGCTACTGAGATAGGACAATTTACGATTGCCAAAAAAAAAACAACGAGCCATCTACAACTCGTAGTCGTCTAACTCACATAGTAGATACAATTTAACAACTGCTTAATGTAATCTCTATGTAAAGCTAGCAATGGCTTTTACATTAGTAAAAAACCCTCTGCGCTGTTAAATTATATAAAGAAAAAAAATCAATACTTCATTGTCTATCATTATTATATTCGCAATGCCGCACATAGTTATTAAGCCATTTCAATACAAAAATGTTACGCAATCCAATCAGGTCATATGATGTTAACCGCTGTATTTTACTGAAAAACGCCTCTAACTGAAGACCAGATCAGCTGGGACTGATTTAATACCCCATGCTACCTAGATATGGGCGGGTAGATTGAGAACGTAAGCGGGTACATAAGTTAATGCTGAACTTCTGTTTTACGTTCCTAGGAAAATCTATGGCCGGATCTCGTCATGAGACGATAGAAGAATCGGCTGGTGAGGCATGCTCCCTCAGTTCAGAACAAAGTGCGGGAGCATCAACTGTCAAAGCGCTGCCCGTGCCCCCTGGGGCTGGCCAAATGACGATTGAAGCCAGCAGACTTCATACAGAATACCAACAAGTAAGTTTATCTAGAATTAGTTTCTTACAGACGATCATGCTAAATGTGTGTAATTATCCTGCACAGCCGGAGTACTGTTCTTGTAATAGCCATAATAAAAATAAAGCTAACGCGAAGACACATTACGGCAAAGATCATGCTGCCTTTTCTTAGTCGCGTCAATTTCAAATACTCACTCGATCTAAATACGTTCGTGCTTGTTTGTGCTCTCCAGGTGCTTACCAACATTGTTGATATGCGCGTTGACCTGAAAATAGAGATGAGTCGTATTCAGCAAAAAATTACAAAGATAGAGGAATCCTTGGAAGAGTTATTAAGGCGGTCGAACAACCAACTGGCGTTCCTGCCTGCTCTAACAGGGCCCTCAGCGACGGAGCGCGGTCCGCCGGACGTCTCGGTTCGAGCTAACGCGCCATTGTCATCGGCGGAACTCGAACGGCCGGTAGATAAGCCACAAGAAGCGCCAAAAGAGAGGGCGCTTGGGGACGCTAACACGGAACCTGGGGAAACCGCGGGCTGCAGAGTCCCTGCGCCGGCGACGACCGTCGCTACGCAGAAGGAATCGGCAGATTCACCCGCAGAAATCTGACTAGTGAATCTGCGCGAGTGATCAGATTAGAGTAGATTGTTGATATTTGGAGACAGGAATCCATGCAGCCGCGGCATCCCATGCCGAAGGGCTTTCGCCCCCAAGCTCACCAACCGTTGGTTCGGCTAACAAAGACTTCGTGACAGTAAAATCCGACACGCAGCGTCTCTGTCTCTGAACCTGATTCTTAACTAATAGCGAAAGTATTATAGACATGGATATTCCGGATTACTTGTAGAAAATGGTCTGAACATCTGAGGAATCCACAGTAAATAACAAAGTGATTTTTGATAACGTATTGCGTATAGAAATTGCTGCTACATAAAAAGGGTAACTCGTGTTACTAAGACTGACATAGTAATGATCTGAATAACAAGAGAATTACTTATACTATAGTCCTCCACTGACCTTGATATGGACAGAAAAAGCAGAGCCGATGGATGAGCGTGCGGTGAGACTATTCAGTGCACTGCTCTGGTATCTAATAAAACCAAACGTGCATACACACAGTCGGTGCATACAGTGACGCAAACAGGAAAGTACAACAATATGATATTACTAAAAGTTAACCAACTATAAACAATACAGAAGAATCGACACACAGAAGCAACCACCCCCTGAAAAGCACCCCAGATTCCCGATAGACACAACCAGCGTCAAATCCAACAATGACAAAACACCAATGCGATTATCATAATAACTACTGCAAGCACAACAAAGCATTGCTTCGCGAAAAAACCTTCTACTTATTAAGAAAATCTATTATTATATTTATGAACGTACGTATCTATATAGATTATATGTAAGCGTTACAATCGATTCTGAGTGGTGAGAGAGAAAATGAAAAGAGTAGAAGTATTGCCACGGGCTTATACAATCGATGGAGGGTTACATGTACAATGTTTAGTATTATGGTTAGACGAGGTATCATGGTTTTACAGAAGTACATACATACATACATACAACATAGCCTCGAAGGGCCAGATGGGAACGTCGGTGATTACCTGGGCTTCGATATTAGCCTTACATGCCTTGCTTAAATTAGCTGGTAGATAAATTGGCAAGCGTGGAAGACAAGGTTAGATATAAGGTGACAGACAAACAAATACTTCTTACTTTATAATGCACAAACAGGGCAATACCGGCCGGTTCGCGCACGGGATATTGTAAAAGCATTCGACACGCCTAATAAGTAAGTGATAAGGAATGACAGCTCATCTGAGATTGTCATACAAAACCATCTATAGTATTTCTAATAAAGATAGATAACAAAAACGATGCCAAGGTATGAACTGAATACTTAAACAAAGGGCAAAAACAGATGCAGATAAGCCGCATTACTTGACACCATTATATCGCGCCACTTGAGTGCAGGGGCGAAAAACGGACATTATGGCGTAAATAAGCGCCATCGCTTATGAGCTGTACAGCATTTCATAGGCACATACGGGGGTCCTCGTAGTTATTACTGTCTTCGTAGATGTACCGTCACAGGTGATTCAACTCTGTTACCTGCATTACTTGGATGCCTCATTCTTCTTGCGACTCGTTGCTGGTAAGGCGAAGTCCTGGCATAGTTTCATTCATGTCAATAGAGGAGTGCGTCCTTTGTACCTGCGTCCAGCTTAAGCAAGGTCCCTGAGCCGCGTAAATCCGTGTCCTGGTAACCCAAACAAATACAACACAAATTCAGACTATACCTAGACGTAAGTGTCTACCTACAACGTACGATAGAACACAAACAGCTAACAAGAAAACAAACAATACAACTTCCTGGACCAAAAACCGTAAGTGAAGAATTATATATGTAAATCCTAATATATGCACAATTCTATACAATCTAAGGGCAGAATGGATGAGAGCCTTTTAATACCTACACAATAGCCTAACAGTACAACATTGGTGGAAATACGTAGTTCTCTCGAGAAAACCTCAATCTATAGTGTTCTGTAGATTACACAAGAAAGATTCATAGAGAATTGGCTTCAAAGTCGAGCCAGTGAGGATTGACCTATGTGTATACGATGCCCCGAATGAAGTCACCATTAGCAGTAACTGAGCCTTAAGTCATTGAGATCGAACTAAATTAACAAAAGTATACACTCGAATACATAAATTGTATATAAATGAAGCGAAAGGTATGCGTTCGCTGTTTTACTAGAATGTGATTCTGCTAAACGCGGAACGAATTCAGGCATTCATGAAGACGACACACTATCAATACGTCTTTGTGTTGAGACGACACACGGAACCCAAATGAAAAAACGCCCAAAACTGTATACGTGATAAACAGAAACGTCTATGAAAGTACATCTATTGGCATGAACGGTTGCCATGAGCCAGTTTCCGCTATCAGTCCACAAGCACCTACACACCGTATAACTATGATGCCGTTCAAAAGCAACTGATGATTATCGTTCTGCTAGGCCTTCCAGTTATGGCGACGGCTGTTTCGGTAGATTCAAGAATGGAAAATAACATCGTATTCATCCTTCGATCATAGCTATAGTATTTTTATATACTAACCGAAACTAAAGACGATTTGCCCTTTTGTTATAGTTCCAATATGTGGATGGCAGTGATTACTCTGAGTGAATTTACGTGTTGCATAGGGCTGGCAAACACCATGCTTATTCCCCCTAAAGAAAAATCGGATTTCTTTCAGTACCGGGACGCCATAGGCATATTCAAACTAAACGTGGTCAGACGCGCTTAAGCAAAATGGCTTTACTGCCTTTTGATTCTCACCGATGATTGATGTTGAACATGTTGAAGGGCAGCATCAGTTAGCAGGAATTAGACGAAGAACCGCAACAACAGAAAGATACAAAGTAATGCAGAGGTTACTATTAACCCTGTAGCAAGGTCGCTCATTCTACCGATCAACGCCTGAGCCTTGAAACGCCCCTTCCTTCACAATGTGAGCTTGTGCGAAATGCTTCATCCGAAGAACATGACACTAATCCCGATTTGACCACACCGTGCCCATGTCGTTCCTGAATGCACTTCACCCTTCCACCTCAACCAAAAACCCTTGTCTAACCCTCCGATTCAACGCACCGAACGCCTTCAGCCAATGAAATATAATTGAGATAATTCGTGCCTAGAAAATATAGGCGCTTAGTTTTATTCTGCAACTAATAATACTATTTTTATAATTCGTGAAGCCTATACAAGCCTTGTAAGCCAGCGTATCCGTAGCTTTTTCGAAGCGTAACGATATAAACTTAACGTTCCCTCCGCGAAACCTAATTAGTGCAATTTGCAGAGCACCAGATGACCCAAAACGAGCAAAACTGTATCCACTGGACAAGACAATTGCAGCAGAGAAATGCTCGCTTTTGTGCTATTAGCTGATCTGAGAAACTCGAAAGGCAAACAAAGACCGACGGTTTGGAACCCATCCAAGGCGAAGGTCGCTAAATCTTTTTTGTCGAATACTAAGTGTGCAAAGCGCCTGCTTTCACACACGACGTATGTGTGGTTCAGATTTAGTTAGCAAAGAAAAATGACGACGAAGAAGATCTTCAGTAAGCGCACCCCCTGGTCCCAAGCAGTTCACGCAACAACCTTCCTGGTGGGGTACCATTCTTGCAGAGGCAACACTCCTGAGGTCTCCGGCCTCATCGTAGTACCCAGCCGTCTACCGCGCTTCTCCCGATGCCAAGTCACTGCTATTACCTACTACTTGTAACCTACAGATCCTTACCATCCTTTGCCTATCTAAGCATGCAAGGCGAGTGAGACCACTCAAAACAACCCAATCGACGAGTTTGAAACATGCTATTGTATAGTTAGTGCTAATAACGTATGATATACATTAGTTTTTATTGAGACGAGGGAAGATAAATCATTTAGAGAACAGAAAAATCATGACCGACATTGTTTAAGAAACACCAGAGGAACGAAGAGACAAAGACCGACTACCGACCCGTCTAATAAACGGACCCAGTTGCCAAGCCCACTGTGTCGATTAATCGAGTCGAATCAGATATAATTTGATCATAAAAATATGTAAATCAATATTATTCTATTGATGTTACTAGGTGCAGCATAGTACCACTAGTTAACACGTATGAATCGTTTGAGAGTTTTGGGTGGACACCATTTATGCTTGCTTGTGCTATACAGACCGTGGGACTAATCTATATCTTTGAGTGGCGCTTCTTTTTAAAAGCTGCTATTTCCACCCACCCTGCGTTGTCTAGAAGACGCCTGAAAAAAGGACGCGACACCAGAGGGCTCCTCGTGGCAGGCAACTGCAAGAGTTATTTGTCTGGCATTGATTGAGACAACATATATATATATATATATATACATATATACATAAACATTAATAGGCATTATTCCTCTAAGATATTTAAGTGCAGAGAGGACCGTAAAATGCCTATTTCTCTCGAGTATCTCACCTTTCTCACCCCCGAACCAAAGTAGCCCTTTCATAGTATTAGGTTTATAAATTGCTACTACTGTATTTGTAAAAATCAGAGAAGAAGCTGACGCTGAGGAGTTATTTGCATTATTACTATGACACTGTGATGCCGAGTGGATTACATGAAATATATATATATATATTTCTAGCGGCTTTTACTGTAGAACGACTACTGGAAATCCAAATGAAGCGTCAAGTACTCCGGGCGATCCCATATTTGAGGTTTGACGTTTTTATGCAGTGGCGTCCCCTCGCAGCCAATGACATCAAGTGAAATTTCCATAACCGCAAAATGGACGTAGACATTTCTCTTAACTATTGGAAAATTGCGCTCTCGTTGGTAGGCAAGAAACAGGAGCCTCTTGTACACATTTTTCCCATATTAAACTCGAACCTCGCCTGGGTACCCCATATTTATCCTTGGTTTACCCGACCAGATTAGGTAGCCCCAATAGTTAATAACCAGTAGCTGGCTTTTCTTCTCCCCAATCCTGCTGTTTAAGAATTCAGTTTGGGTGGCATTAATAACCACAGGTTATGAGTGACAGATATGGATAAGCACTGAATGGTCTAATTTGTTTTAAGGATTGCCTTCGCATTCGCAAGTCCTGTAACAAATAACCCTGTTAGGCGGCACGCATGGCGGCACCGTTCGAAATCAAAAGAGTCGTGTTAAATTTAAACGTGTCGTTCTATTCTGTATGATCCATACTCTATGAGAATAACGACTTACTGGTGTGCCTTTACCGACCTAAAGCAGAGACTTATGTGGGATATGTGGTACGCCTTACAATTTATGAGCAGACACGAGAGATTGTGGTCAAGTTAATCGGCTGCGCCCAACTGGTTTCTTCTACCATACCACACACAAAAGGAATATATATACAAATGTACATAGAACGAACATTTGCTTGGACACGCAGCTGAATATATTTTCAATCTTAATTAATAGCACCTTATACTGTAACCCATATAACGGCGCACATCCAACAACTACCCCCCCCCCCCCCCGCCAAACGTCACCGATCGCTTAACTCGTGATAGGTAAACCACTCAACTGAGCATCTTCGCCTAAATTAAGTGAATCATGCAGAAGGCAAGCTTCCATGACCGCTCTTGTCGTCCTTACAATCGCGCAGACAAGATCAGACTGTTCCCGTCAACGCTACAACTAAATCCAATATAATGGCAGCATGCCGTTGCTAACACCGCATTTCCGCTAACACGAGAAAAAATGGATCAATCCGCCCAATCGATCTTGCTATACCGACTTAAAACAGTCAAGTACGGGCATCTAGAGTGCAAACATGCCGCTAGCGACGATTTGCTGAGCTTACCTGGCATCATTGTTTTTGACATTGATCTGACTAACGGTATTATATATCATTTGTATAACTTTCTCTCTCTCTCCTCTCTCTCTCTCTCTACATACAAATATAGCATAATGAATTTGCTACTTTGTTGCTGCTGCTGCTGCTGTTGCGATATAGATGGTTTCTTATACAGCGACTGATCTAAAGCAAGATCAATAACCTGCTTTATCGGACTATTCACATACAGACACGTGCAAACGATGTCTTCGCTTGTTGTGCCTCAGTCAACACTCAGTCAGATGCAGAAGTCTCGCGGTTGACCCCCTGATCCCTTTTCCGATATATCGGTCCGAGCGAGAACGTTTAGACCTAATCGCTTAAAAATTTCATAGGTTGTCAGGTGGGCTACGCCTACCAGAAACTGGCACTGGCCCACGCTTGCTTGATCCATAAAAATGGTCACTAACGTACATCGGTTCTAGCTACCGCAAATGCAGCTGCATCTTAAGCATCGCGAAGCCCACAACTGCAGTACCCGCGGCTAGCACCCCAAATCACTTGCCAACGCTCGCACGCAAAACGGTTGCTTTCACTCGTCCGACCACGAACCGTAATATTCACTAAGAGTTGAAAAAAAAAAAACTATTAAATACCGCCATAAACGACGTCATCGTCATTGGAACGGTCCTTCATACAAAAGAAGCTAATATAGTAGCCAATAGATCAAGCGCATTTTCAGTGCTACCTACATATAGAATCTGATAGAATTATATGAACAAGTGATAACGTATTAGGTCGTTGGTACAGGCCATAATTGATTGTGGCCGTCACAGCTTCGATTGTCTCACACACACACGGCACGTATTTACCCCAAATCTTGTCTTTATGATCTTTACAACACTCGTACATCAGCATCCTCCAGCTCTATAGCCCTATCTCCGATGTCTATCGGTTTGGGTTTTGCAGAAATTTTCGGTCCAATAAGCATCCCGTCCCTACATACAATTGTCCACGTGCGAACATGTCGTTGGCGAATCTTACAGACCAACTCAATATGGGGGCAAACAAACAAAGCAACAATGCAGTGGATGATAGGTCAGACGAAGGAAGTTAGGAGGCTAGAGATCCTTCCCTGACAAGTACCGTTCGCGAACCAACATTTAGTTGTAAATGTCCCACCAAGCCAAGCAAACGAGAAAAACATTGCCATGTAAGCAGAGTATTACGTGACGATAATACCACTCATGCGTGAAATGCACTAGAGCAGTTATTTAGTCTCCGCTCACGTCTCCTTGTTATAGGGGGCTTCGTCTCTCTTGGTACGCAACATAACAAGTACAACTTAATAGACAGTAATAGGATAAATACAATTTGTTGTAGAAACGCCGAGGCAAAATGTCGAAAGCAATATGCAAATGTGTAAACGACATGCGGACAACTCGAGGACTGCGACTCGCAATACAAACAGATTTACCCCCGCCCCATTCCCGCTAAAACCCACCGAGAGTTAAGAATACGATCTTCCTATACTACTGCTACCACGATTACTGATCATAGTAATAGTAATAACGTGAAAGTTACTTTTATTACTATTTCGGCTACTACAGTTACTACCGATGTAGCGCCATTCCCCAGTCAACGATTGTACGCGAGTGTACGTGTTTCGTAACGCCTAGCAGACCTAGGACATAATCCTAAACCCTTACTAAAGAATACCAATACTTCTCTCTCATTGCGTAGAACCCACTGAGCAGCCCGAACCCACGTGACAGCGTGCTGTAATCCTAATGAAAGGAAAAGAGGGAGAAAAAATATAGCCAGAGATCAGTTAATTAATTGAATTGCATGCGATTGGTTAGCACGCGGTTCCGGCCCGACTCACTGGAGACTCGGTCGCGGTTCATTACCGCAACCAGGTCTGCCGAGGTCATGGCAGGCTGCCGCCCGAACCCGTACAAGTCCAGCTGAACGGAGTGATTGTAGTTGAGTGTCCGTCTTCACGGTCAGCAATTCCTCATTAACAACAGAGATGCCGATGAAGTGGCGAAGATTAATGATTAAACGATTGATCAATGATTGAAACTCGTTCAAGCCTCGATCGAAAGCTCCCCAAAAGCGACCGCCTTCTCTCGTGGTAGCCCGCTACCTTCAGCTCGAGTCGTTCATTTAAACAACTCACTAGCCAAAAGATAAAAGTCTGGTTAGATGACTCTAATCAAAGCTATGATGACAGTAACAAAAACAACACTTGATACTATTTCTGAAAAACTAACACTAATAACAGATTTAACTACTAGTCACTGCAGGGTGTAGTCGACCAAAACGACGACAACGACATACAGAAACGATGATACAACGTCGATGAACGATACAGATTTAGGGAATCTCGTAGCCAGGTTATATTGAAACGTTGGAACTGTCAAATGAGACAAAGACGACGCCCGACCCGGGTCCATCTACAAGTTTCAGCAACGATAGTTATATGTAATGTAAAACTATAGCAAAAACAACCCCATACAGCAGCACGAACAATTACAGGTGTAACCAATAGAATTGATCATTTTCAATGTCTCTGAATTCAAAGCCTTCGATGACGGTGACCCATGGATGGCTCAGGTTGAGTCGAATGTATCTTGAAGGTGCAGCATTGTATTATACATCAATGGACCCTTCACGTGACAGTAACTCACACATGTGATAAAGCCATGCGACAAAGCCGACACGATACGCAGTCCACACAATAGTGACAAAGCGAGCGTAAACATTTTCCAAGGACTAGATAAAACTACTTCATTTTTCGTGCGGTCAACTACGATTTCTGTGTAACAAAATCAAGCATACCCGACTTGCTGTAACTAGTTTGTGATCCTATTCCGTCTTCTTAATTTTTACTAGTTATTTAGGTAGGTCAAGGACGCAATCATAGCAACTCAACTTCAACAGCAAAACAGGCGAACATGAGGACGCGACCTTTAGTCGGCGACGGCAGACGTCAAGGGACAGTCTAACCATGAAAATAGATAACGGAACGCCAAATCCAACTCCTGAAAACTTGCGTAAGAAAATAAAGTGGATGGCAAAAATAGGCCTAATTAGGAAAAAACTCTATTGCACGGGCACACAGACTAGAAACGTTGTGAATCGAGAGACAAGCGCATCATACGAGCGTCGAAGTGAGCGCACCCTCGAAGATTAACTAAAAATTGGTGCTATGAACAGCGATCACGGAAAACTAATACGGACCATTACGTATACTTTTTGACGCCATACGGCAACCGCACTATTCAAATTCGCAGCGTCATTGCGACGTTGCAAAGTGATACGGCTGGCCTTCCAGTATGACAAACATTGTGCCTACATTGTACGTCCCATACGCGTTCTTATGACTCGTCGCTCGACACACCACACTTATGAGAAATTTCCCTATTTTTTTTTTTACCACTGATATGGTAATAACTGTGTGGTTATGTATACGGTCATCGAATGCTGAAAGCAGGTGATTGTTGCCGTACTGGGCTAACTAATAGATATTATACCGAGTTCAACACAAATATATCGAACGATGGCAAAAATATAAAACAGGCAACAAATCGGCTTCGTTTTTAGGCCAAACTAGAGGCCGAGCCATCACCATAGTCAGTTGATGCAGTTTCAGCACTCGTCCGATTGATAAAAATAGCATCAAATCGAAAAGCAGATAGTGATGAGAAAGCGGTACGAGCACGAGATCGATTAAAAGAGCCAAAAAAAAAAAACAACTTTCTTGAAAAGCTCATAAAACGTCCATGAACAAAATTAACATTATGGCGTTTCTCAGAAGATCTGCTACCAACTATTCCACAGCAATGATAGCAGCAAACTGATAGCGACAACGATGACACCAGCAGCAGCAGCAGCAGCAGCAGCAGCAGCAGCAGCAGCAGCAGCAGCAGCAGCAGCAGCAGCAGCAGCAGCAGCAGCAGCAGCAGCACCACGATAAAACTAATAACAAAATGTTATAAGAGTTAGGTAAAAAAACGTGAAAGTTAAAATGACACGTCTACATACACAAGAAGCTGATTTCCACGCAATCTCACGATACGACGATTCGCGGCGCGGAAGGCCACCGGAGGAGCAGAGGCCGACAACACTATAGAATACCAACAAAGCACCGAATTTTACGCTTTACTTAGATATTTCGCCATTGCGTTCAACGTAGCCCAGACACACCAGCAAAGCAGGCAATCTATAATATGTCAAAGCTAAGTTGAATATATTGTAAGTGGTCACTACCTAGAATGAACAGAAAACTAAAGTTATGACTTTTTCGCCAAATACATCCGACGTATAACGGACAATTTCTATACTATCTATATAGCACCTATCATAACGCTGACAGCCTAAAACTCTATTCGTTTTATTATAAATTGTCTGGCAAACAAATCAATTTGTACATTACACTTGAATTGTTATTGATCCGAGACCGATCGATCGATCGACAGTTTGGAAAACTACAGTGGTCAAACAGACCAGCGAGATTGTGATCGAGCGATGATGACGATTTCAAGATAAATGTGTATGTATAGAGATAACATGAGCTAAACGCTTAGAGGGGAGTCGCAATGACGTCAACACAAGAACAATATCGACTTGACCTCGTGCCCCCCCCCCCCTACCAACTATCAGAGAGCGACACTGAGCCTGACACAGCAGAATCACATACTGATCAATCCAGTCTGTTATTGAAGTAGACTATGGTATTGTGGTGATATATATCGTTTTTACGTATCTAAACGTATTTTGTTTTCCCTATCTACTTCAATTGTGGATTTATAGAATTTTTATCGGAGAAGGGGGCACTTTTCATGTGATCAATATCAGCATATCATTTCTATCTTTGAAACAAAGTCTCCAATATTATTATGATTGTTTTCGCCTATTTTCTTACCCGTATTCGGTCAGCACTTCGAACACGATACAGCAACCAGCCATGGCAGTTCAATGCACTCAGGCGGCAGGCGTAAGGCGCTTGATTCAGCAATGAAAAAATCAGGACACTCTACTGAAAGGACGACTCCAACGCAACGTTACGACATACAGATATATTGCGTAAAGGTTACGTAGTTGAACTGAGTGTAAATAAAGCAAGATGCTCTGCATCGGTAGATTGTTAAAGCGAGACTCATCCAAGATGAGACCAAGTTAGTTTTGAATACGTCTTTATATAAATGTCTCTCGGGATGATTGAAAATTATCCCTACACCAACACCATGGAACAGCTCACAGAGCACTTGTACGACGGGCGAACTCAAATGAGGGCAACTGTTATAAGTACGTTTGAACAAGCCGACATCTTCAACAACTTCTTCCATCAGAGAACGGAGTGAAGATTCCACAACGAACAAACCGCGTCGTTTCTTTCTTTTACTCACTTACTGCAGAATCTTCTTCTCGGGTAAGTTCGAACACTAATTATTTGAATACCCTGTGCAAAATATTCGATTTTTATCTATTACTCCATAGATGAGCAAGTGATTGGCTGTGCTAGTTACTGATCATTAGCGGTAGATACCCTGAAAGAAACTACTGCGTTATAGCAAAAGCAACGATCCTTAATATTATATACATTTCGAGAAATTACAGGATGTAACCAAAGCGGAATTTATCACGAGGCTTTTGCGAAATTTCAGGCAAAGATAATTTCTATAATTACTACAGTAAATTTCCGCTAAAATAAAATGTAATCGTAGAGACGACTGACGTCTAGCCCCGAATGAACGAGCAGCCGCAATGGGAAAAGTAGAGTAAAAGAGTAGGTTTTTATGCAAACCTACCTGCATGCACAGAAGACAGAAAAATATATCGACATGACGAAAATGCTATTGAGCAACATGTCGAGTTGTAGCATCAACAGCTACCGTACACAAACCAATGTACTCTACCATAAAGCGATTTCGGCAAATGGGGAAACTTCAAGGTCTCGATAAGGTGACAGATGGCCGTCACCTGTTTAGTTCAGGAAGCTCTATTGAATATTGTAAAACTACAACGCGGACCCTACTCGTTCGAGATAGGGGGGTGAAGTTGTTCTTCCGATAACGAAATTAATCGATTGCGACTGATAGTTCGTTAGGGTCCTATATTATGGTTATTATGAGTATTATCAGGGTTGACCTGTCCTAGTAGTGCGAACGTCATCGTTTCTTAGCGTGTTACCCAAACAAGACGTTTCAACCAGTCCTGCATCATTCTACATGTAAACTATTATGTCTAGGAAAGACAGCGTATTGTTGAAAGAGGAAAACGACGCGAAGTACCGTCGTACAAATCCGATCTAATTGAATTTCGTAATCCAAAATCCAAGATGGCTTCAGTGTTACGCTCCATTTTCTATTTCATTTCGTCGTCGTCGTCGTCGTCGTCGTAGCGAAAAAGGCACGGAATAGTCACGGTTAACGGGGGGGTGAGATGAAAATTGCGGTTCCCGTTCACTTTACTAGCGCTATTTTATAGCGTCAAAGTGTCGAAGTGGTTATACTTTTTACGCCCGAACAAGAACGTTCCGTTTTTATTATATGACTAACTTTTTTTTTTTTTTTTTTTTTTTTCTAGACCCGTATTGTATCTAATATAGCTATTTAAAAACTGTTAATTTCCTGGAGTATTTTGTCATGGGTGATTGACTGTAGCTGCTCACTACAGCTAACAAACGCTGCGACACTGAAGTGCCATCAGCACGCTTTCTACGAGACCGCGAGAATGGCCGAATGTCCACGTATGAATCGTTCGTCGGAGAGTATGTAAATACACACAGGTGTATACGTGTGTTTATACCGAAAAAAAAAAAAAAAAACTTAAAATTAAACGACGACCAATACGAGCTAGCTAAGCAGCGAATACGACATCTGTCGATCGGGTAACGTTCTCGCGAAACATGATTGGCTGTACTGCGTCAATTGCAAATATCCGGTATTTTTAAATTTAAAAATTTTCATGTTTCTCATTTAAATAGCTAATGCTGTTTTGTGGGCAAATGCAGCTCCACCAACAACTGCTGGAAACGGCCGCGGAAGGCAGGGCGGGCCTTACAAACGCTGTAGCGTTGCTACGATGGAGAAACCAATAGTACTTGACCGTTCGCTGCCAGGCCTTTGTGTGCTTGCTTAATGCGAGAAGTCCCGGCCAGTAAAAAAATTCAGATGTATCAATCCCGAACGTAGATACGGAAGTAACGAAGCAATGAACTGTGTGAGTGGTGAGTAGATGATACACACGAGACTTGATACTTACTATTGGGATAAAAAAATGAAGAGAATCAGGATTTCTGTAGGTGAACGGTTGGCTGAATGAGTGACCCACCCACCATGTTAAGATGACTGGGCAACTGTTACTATCGAACGATGATTGTCAACTATCAACGTTATTTATTTAGTATAATGCATTGATGTATTTGTATTAATAATTATTATGACCAAAATATGAAGCAGTGCTGGAGACGAAGGTCTGCGTCGAAGGGAAAAGCAGTGATCTTTTCACGATTCCAATGAAGACAATTACGTAACGTAAATGTACCATGAATAATTAATAACAATTACTGTCAAATAGGAGAAGGTAAACGAGGAGGAGACGAATTGGTATATATAAAAAGGCCCTCAGAAAGAGCCGAGTTCAACACGCAGCGAATGAACGGCAACAAAATAACGACAACAACAACAACAACAACAACTAAAAACATCGAAGATGACCGAACGATGATGAGCCATATTGCCAAATTCTCAAAGGTCTTCAATAATAGCGATAACAACAACAACAACAACAACAACTTCAAAGAAAAAACGATGGAGATGCGCGATTGAAGATGGATCACAGACTAACTTCATCTGTAGTAACAAGTCTACTACCAAACAATGGTACTACGATCATGGAAAACCAATAGCAATAACAACCGAATAAGAAACATACTTAAATACCAATACTAATACAACAGTAATAGCGAAGCGGATCGTTGTTAAGGATGAACGAGGACGTCAAATCGAAAAAACGTAGTTAAAAAAAAAATGAACAATTTTTACAACGAAAATAGTAAATACAGAAAAACAACATCAGTAGCAGTAAAAATAACGAGAACAACCAAAGTGATAAAAACGAGTATAGTAACAACCGCGTAAAGATATCACCGGAGACAATTGGTTCTTTCCCGTATGAGGTCCTCTACTGTTATAATGATGCTGAGTCACTCAACATGCACACGACCAAACCATGAAAGAGGAAAGTTCAACCTGTTTTTAACTACAAACCATATGTGTCTATATTATTATTATTATTATTATGACAACCAAGATGACAAAACCAAGCTAATAACAAACGATTCTCAAAAGTGACAGCCGCAAAATGGCCGGTAAAAAAACGCAAAGGAGATGTGTATATATACATATACAAATTATATACACAAAAAAAAAAAAGACTATTTATATATCGGCGTCCTTTGGCGCCGGTGGACGTCAACCGCGCCAACTCAATCCGAAGTGAATCAAACGACTAGTAATAAAAGTCAACGAAGGCTGAATAATACGGTGCTCGTTGAATTGTATTGCCACAGCCACGACATGACAAAGCAGAGATACGATCATCGCTTTTCCATAATCATCCCGCATTGTCAGCAAAATGCCGTAGAACTCAGCAGGACTAAGTAGCAGGTACGAGTTTCCTGCCTATGAGAAAACAAAGCCAACATCGAACGCTGACAAGTGTAGGAGGAAGGGCAAGTCTTACCAACCAAACAAACAAACAACATTGTAAAGTGTAACAGTAAACTTCTTGGAACGTTGCTAACTTTTGCGATAGCATCAGTACACGACACGAATTGACACCATACCGACCCACACCCCGACCAAATTATCAGCGGGGACTGGAAAATGACAAAATAGAGAAGAGAAGATAAGACCGAAGTGGACGACAACAAAAAAGGAGCAACCGAAGCTATACGAACAACAGCTAGTTCGAATGATGTAGAGTAGCAGAAAAGTTGCCGTACGTAAAGAGATGACACGATCAAGCTAACGAACTCGTAAAGGCAGAACCGGAAGGGACGGCCTACTCTAAAGGAAATCGTCCGATTTAGCGTTGGTCGTCCTGGCGACTATAGGCGTTAGCAGAAAAATTAACATTTCAAAAAGCAAGAATAAGACGATAACAATAGTGACGAGAGCAACACCAACACGACCAGTGATGTGAGTACATACACTTCATAATACACACGCATTCAGTAGGCAAATTGAAGGACGATGAGGTATGCTAATGCTAATATTGCTGCCGAAAGCATATACCGCGGTACTGGTAAAGAACTAAACCATTCCTAAAGATCGGCTCGTTTTGAACCGTACGTTCAACTGTTGAGTCAATGACGGCTAATAGGCCGATTCAAGGGGATGGCCAGATCGGCTACGATGAGCTGGCTGGCTGGCTGGCTGGCTGGCTAACGGCAGGAAAGCTAAGAGGAAAAAACGTGCAACTAAACAACGACCATTCGGCAAATGTTAGGAAGAGGCAAAAATTTCACGAAAAAAAAAAAAAAAAAAACCGGCTACCGCACAGATGAAAATTTTACTGAAAAATCTCTTCTGCGTCCTGTCGAGAAAATGTATGACGGTCCACTTTTGTTCACAACGTATATGATAACTTTATAGTTTTGAGCTCACTCCAGCATTTCTCGGCTCGTTTATTTGTATCCATACAATGGGAACAATGTAAGACGAACTGCCAAATCAACGTTAAATATACATAGAAATTATAGATGTCGATCAGCTTATCTAAGCTTGCGTTTTTCTGTGGGCCAACACGCTCACCAGATCTCATCCAGCCGGTAGCTCTAGCCGTTAAATACGAAACCAATATCTACAAACGACTGTTAAAACAGTGATTTTTAATCATCCCAAAAACGCAGTTTGCAGTTTTTACTTTACAGTTTATCAATTTGTAATAATTAACGTGTGATACTCTTTTATGTTGTCTCAACGTTAACGGCATGTTCCATTTGAGCCATCTCCCAGCCTTCTGTCAGATGTAAAACAAAAGAGAAGACACTGGAATGGGTAATACTTATTCTAAAAACAAACTATGGTAATAACAGATACATTAAGCGATAAAGAAACACCGACAATGCATAAAATATCGCAAGGTGCTTGTAGACAACCGATATATATATACATATATATATATATATATATATAATATGCATAATAGGTAATTATAAACCGACAAAGAACATCCGATCTCAATCGAGATACAATGACCGAAGGAATAGACATTTTACATTGACAAGTAAAATGGAGTTTCTAATATACAAGCGACTTCCCTCCCCTTACCAACGTCGCCAGCCTGTGGCCAGAGAAAGACGTCGACAATTCCGTCTGCTGGAAACAGAGCGGGAGAATGAAAATAACGCTCCCCCTTGAGGAAACACCGCAAGGTGACAGACTTAAAGTATAAAATAAAAATAAATACATCTAGAGGTAGGTAGGCGCGCAGAAAGTTCTACAGGAAAAATAATAATGGTAATTATTATATTAAGATAAATATAAGCGCGGGGAGGGTTCGGAATTTAGAGAAAGTGTCAATTAAAAAATATTGCGCGTCCACATGCGAGCAGTTGGGTGACAAGCTGATAATGAAGCTGATAATAATTATAGTGGCGGTTACACTGATAAATGGCAGTAATGTGTAGTGAAGGGCGAAAAAGAGATTAAAGAAATGATATAAGCAATTTTTTGGCAAAAAACCGATAAAAACCGTATAATGTGTAATGAACGAGTGTGACGGACGCTCTGGATGGTGAGGTTTCGCGACGAGCCACTCGGAAGCATCTGCCACATGTCTAAGAGAGGCATGGCTCTCCACATGGAAGATACCTCATGTATATTTTGTACGATTAGTTGCACTCAAATAAACATCCATTAATAACGAATTCAACACGGTCGACTCTTTATTCGGTAGGGTACTAATAGAAATAAAACGTCTTCGTCTTTGCTTGCGTATCCCTGCTCGTGTAGTTAGGCCGTTCTCAATTTGGCACGTCCGTATGGCATCGTGCCTTACACATTTGTATACCTATAGGCTCACCTGAATCAATGTGGCAACGGTTTGGAAAGCCAAATATCTCGTTCAACGAAACGAGACATTGCTTTGTCGAAAACAATTGCCACACGAATTGTATGCACAATGTAGGACCGAATAAACCTGCTTGTCGTACCTAAATTGTAAAATACCTAAAATAGTAGAAGCCGATGACCGACTAAATAGATATTATTAGCCATGTAGTATTTCGATCTACTATACATCTGTATATATCGAAGTTGATCCACTATACAATATAACGGGTGCGAATTAGTAGGTATTGTAACATATACAGTTATTGCTTCTGACCTATTGTCATCAACAGTTCATGCTTGGCAGGACAAACGTCTTAGTGCACCGCTTTATACAATGAAGATGGTACGACTAGAAAAGTCGAACGCCGTTCAAAGTGAAGCCTTTTTACGAAAATAACAACTTTTTTTTTTTTTTTCCGTCTCGAGACGCTATTAACTAATCGCGAGAATTTTTACGAAAATCCGAATCCAGCGAATAATGAAGCGTTCTTATACAAACATAAAGACGTAGGCTCCTGTGCCGTAAATTTCACCGCGTGAATATTACCGTCGCTAATAATGTTCGCCTTTGAAGCTTAGATCAATTGCCTTTGGTTTTAGTGAATGTTTCACGCTGTCAGTGATAACTGACGGAAGTTTTTTTCTCATTCGGATTCAGTCTGAATTGAGCTAGAGGAGACAATCAGTTGATTGTACAGTCCTTTAGACAGCCTTTCGCACATTCATTTCCGTTTGTTCGTTAAATCGTAGTCAACGTTACGTTACGTTAAGGATAGCCGTACTTCTGCATGATCATGTCGGTGTACCACTCCTGTACAATGTCAACTTCTACTACTATTTAATAGAATTTTCGTTTGAAACACTTCGTACCTTTGAAGTAACTAGTTGTCCGACGGACAATGCCAAAGGAGACATTGACTAAAAGCACTCATCGTTTGACACCGACGTCTAAAACATGATGTAATTTTTGGTAAAGATTACATCATGATCGTTATTAAAAAAACGTTAGGGATTCAAAAATAAACAAGGTAAACCGGAGGCTAGAAGCTTAATACAATGTCTCAAGCTGCGTGGTTTCCAGTTCGTATAGCAGCAACATACTGTCCTAACTACGTATAGTCGAGTGAGATACCAGCTGATTTTTGGGTATTTGCACCAAACGAAGCTTTCTACCTATATGAAGGTTAATATTTTCGCTGTTTTTGTATTTATTACCCTGAATCTGTCGAACTTGCAAAGGAGTCTGAATTACCCCAATCTGGAGAAATCTGATACAATCCGAATCTTGCCAATCTGAGCGATGTCGTCTTGTTGGACAGGACCGATCCGAACAGAAGCTGTGAGGTTCGAGTTTGCAATGGACGTTTAAACCTGGTAATCCGTCTGTCCTGGAAGACTAACGAGTACATATTCGATTGCTGAAACTGACTACGATATAATGAGTTATACCAATCCACATTGACGTACTTGACAAACGGTTTAATTAACCTGGCGACTGACTCTGACGAGGCTACAGCAGCGAGCTGTCCATTTGGCTTGCCAAGACTGGTTTGGACTAACCCAGATTTTGATACTGGCTTTGACCCGCCAGTTAAACCCCCAAACACCACGCGTCGCGTTAACACTACACGCCGAGTCGCTTTAGACATTCGCGGGACACTTTCCTGATCTTCACAAAGCGTAGACCTCAAACGGGAACCTGGAACCTGGCGTGACGAAATTGATTTACTTGTGCTGGGTGTTGGAGTAGAGTTTCGAGTCGAAGCTTTTGTCGGGACCTTGTCCTTTACAGACGTAGACTCAGTCGCATCTGATGCTTTTGCGAAAAAGCACTGCCCATGAAGCGGAACATCCCACCGGCGACGAAGCCTTCGATCGGGCAAGGCCACGCTTTCGAGATGGGGAACAATAGAAACAATCAATCCAGAGTGAAGGACAACCTATAAGCAAAACGATTAAAAACCCATACCCGTTTTAAATTAGGCTCGTGAACTGAAAAGCTTGCGATTGTGACCTTACGTCCGAGACCTTACGTCCGATTATGTTTGTTTACCTTCAGTATTCCTATATAAGATCTGGACCTGCCGATCTGCTTCAATATCATCTCAAATCAAATGACAGAGCGAGTTGAAATTTACGTTTGTGGTTATCTAATAAAGAAAAACACGCATACCGAGTTCTCAGCCTGGTGAACGCATTGACAGGCCCATATTGGAAGGTCGGAGTCGTCGTCTTCAGCTGGTAGCTCCAGGGGCTGACCTTGACAATTTGGATAGACTGAACTTTTCGATGAGGCGACCTTGGATGACTGTGGACACGAGACTGGAGTGGAGACTAGTTCTGCCGGTGACGTTGCCGAAGACAAACAACATCCTGAACCCATAATTACGAATAAATCTACCAAATACATGAATTAGAATCGGAGCGTTCCAACAGTTGGGATCGGATATAGTTTTCAATCAAAATTTGCATATGAGATATTGAAGCCGGCCATAATGACCAAGCTGATTAATACTATTAATTTATTAAATAATAATTAAATTAATACTGATTAATATGATTTCGCAGTGGTGCACCGTTCCGAAATTTGCAATTAAACACGCTAGCAAATTACTTCCCCATCAAATCTAAATAGCTCAGTATTACAGTGAAGCTTTCGACAAATGTACAGCCAGCCATACATTGCCCTCTGCCTTTTTCTAATTCTTTTATGAGTTGTCTATACATACAAACACAAGCATGAAAGGTTTAAAGTAAATAACTAACTAAAATTAAAAAAAAAAAAAATTACAAAAAGGACTCAAACTCGAGTTCCATATTGTCAAGGAAATAACGCTCACTAAGTCGCATTACACGACAAGCTGAATATCTTAAACCCCTGAATTTGTTGATTTCGATAAACTAAACTACGTAATCTGTATGTAACCAAAACGTAATTTAACAATAACGTAAGATCACAAAGGAAGCTAAGCTAGTCATACGTCGTATTAACGAAGCCCGTCGTGTATACGCTGCGACTTCAACTAGCATAAATACTTTCTAAATTTGCATCATGATCCAACTCACCAAAACTGGGTCATATTCGTATCAACGTTAAATGAGATCGTGCGAACATCTGTTTGGTCCGATCTTTTAATCCGGTCCCACCATCAGTGACTGATGACCGATACCAAAGGCCGATGCACGAACGTGCCTAGATAAACAACGACTGATATTGACCGATAGAGAAAACTATCACAGCAGCACATTCGGCCAAAGGCATCGGTTACTCACCTCGCTCGGCACGTATCATTCAAACAATGGACAGCCACGTGAAAGACACCGCTACCCTTGCGAAAAATCGTGCCATCTAACCTATCATTTTACGTATTCACGAATGGAGAACGCGCTCTCGTCGAATGCAGTACGAAATTGATACGGTGTTTACTCTCCGGTGACCACTTCACATACCCTTTCCTTTTTGACGGAAGATGCGATCGAAACGATTCCTAATAGGTCAAATTAGAAGCTGTTTTCGCCCTAGTTTTTCCCTGAATTGAAATAGTCATTCTACTTGGTCCTAGCGAGCGTCCCAAATCAGGCTTGTTTCGAGCTGACGATACGAAACTTAAATAGCAAGATTTTGCGAAATTTGACAGCGAAAAACAACAGTTTGTAAAAGCTGTTTTTTGTCGTTTTTATTTCGTCGGCCGCATCTTCAAACTGGTGCCTTTTCTGGATAATATACGCTGAAGAGTATTACACTTGCTGTAAAAACGTAAAGCGTTTAGACTACTCTAGATCTACTAAATCATTCAATAAATAACTAGACAGGAAGTTCACTAATTAATTTAGTTCACTTCAGAGCTGAATGTCGTTTCGTAGTTTAATACAAAGGCAACAAAGTACCTAAAATAATCGTCTTGAGGGAATAACGCTTTACTGTCGTCATTGAATAGCTTTCAAAGATAGACACCGTTTGAATTTTGATCCGTTGTCTATGAAATGGTCATTCAGGACTCTCACGAAACTTCGATTCGTGTCGTCACTTCAATGAAGAACTAAGATAATTAGCTTCACTTCCGAGCTAAAACAGAGCATGAGTCTTACTTAATTACCTACTACTTGTTTCTCTCAGGTAACGTGGATGATTGATGGGTCAAAAGTAGAAATCGCACATAGAGAGTAGTCAATAAGTTTTAGCCCAGATCACCGTCAGATAGTCGTGTTTATTTGAGTAGAAGTAGTATTTACTTCATGGCTACCAAACAGTTTAAGCAAAATCAAATCTATACATAATACAACTACATTCTGTCAAGGGGAAAACCGTAAAATTGGATGAAACAGTCAAACGTCACCGTTACGTGTACGATTACTTGAACAACTGTGATGGTACGTCCGACTTTCATGTACAAAATAGAAACGTATCAAGTACGTCGTACTATCACGAGCAGGCATTCAACATGGACGCGTATCACTACTTTCCCCACATGACGACCAGTATTTTGATTTCATGTCAAAACAATGCATGATCCGTTTGCGGTACTCACTGATTAGTAACGCATAAAGCTCTCAAGTTTATTACATCGTAACGTTTAACTTTGATTTCGTTTATATTCGTCGGTCTAACATACCGCCCTAGGGCTTTAGAAGCCCCTCGAAAATGTCGCATCTTCCAAATGTACTTAACTAAAGTTAGTTAGCAATACAGAGCTCGTATTGTCGATACAGAACTTAGAGTATTTATATTGCCTTCGCAAACTACGACATGTTACCCCAAATGCATAGATAGACAAAATTTCCTTCTTAGTATTTTTATCTAGCAGATGAGGTATCCTCTGTCCGTATCCGAGACATTTTACGGACGGATGTAAAAATGCGACACGTTTGCTGGAAATAGCCACTGATGCATACAATTTTTGTTATTAAATACATACCATTTACAAAGCATGCGATTTTAAGCAATCAACAGGCGGCGTTTCAATATGTCGTAATTCTGAAAAAGATAACAAAGTCTGCATACGCATATTGAGGGACCGATATTTGATTACTACTATTATGCTCGACTCAAGAGAAATTGAAGTACTTACTATCGATGAGCACATAATCCGGGTTTGCGACATTAATCTCTAATACGAATCACCTAAGAAGTATCAGGAAACTCTTTTCCTCACGTCAGGATATTCACTCTTGTTTTATAGAACATGAAAATGCAGCGCGTAGCTTCAACAATCTATTTCAACGGCTTACTTTTCGAGGGTCCAGCATCAGAAGTGGTGGGCGAAACTTTTAAGAAAGCCGTCGTTCGTGAGTTCCATTCGAAACGTTATACTGGCCCATAAAATATTCTCATATGAAAAGTGCAGTCCTCAGTGAAGGTGACACTAAGTTATTGGAGCCAAACAACTACATCACTAGAAATCCGGTTAGTAAGTTCACTTACTTCAAACGGTATCACTTACAGATTAGGTAACTGTTTGCCGTCACCGTGCACAAAAATAAGGTCTCTTTTGTGTCATTCCTAATTTGATCTACACGCTCTCCCTAATGAACCTAGGGACATAGAAATGATCTTAGGTGTGTTAGATAGATATACTATTTCAGAATGGGGAATCAGACATTCAGACGTGGAACTAAAGTTAATAACAGCTAATTACTATTATTATCTCTACACCTATACTATCATTACTATTACACTAGACGATGCAGCATTTTCTTGACTAGGAGAGGTTTGTCACGTTTACAGCGCCTTCATAATTTTTTTAATGTAACTTTAGGTTTTATGATTTTTAAAAATATCAAAGTCAATCTTTGTCGTTTTGTAATAATAACTACAACGTACGCGTCGCTTGCAATGAACAATGAAAATCCGTTAGAAGTATGCCCTGCTATAGGACCTTCAGTGAATGGCTGTATGCGATACGCTTCCGGGAATAAATGTAGCAAAGTCAAAAACATCAATATCGAATGGGTTCAGTTGAAAATGTACATTCATGGAGGTACTTCAAAAGCATTTGAGGTCTTTCTAGACCTGGAACCTTTAACTAATTCAGTATCACCTTCTAACCTTAGGTTAGCGTTTTGGTGAACTGCGTTCACTTCCTGCGAGAAATTTTAGTAATCCGCCAACAGGCTTATGCAGTCCTGCTAACATAGCTGTACAAACTGCTAATTTTAGACGCAGCGTAACGCCATACATGGGCAACTGCAAAACGGCTTCGCGGTTAACGATTTGGCGGAATTTCGGCGTTTGGCCAGCTTATTAATTTTTCGTTTTATCTAAAATTTTTCTATAATGCATATGCAAAAGTTAGAAAAATCGTATTTTTTTTTTTCTTTAGAGACCCAAGTCTGCGGACTCTGCAATTATTGAACTTTGCCGGTACTGTTACAGCAGAGGTTTATCACGAGCATCAGCAGAACATAACACGGGGACAACAATCATGTATCCTTAAAATTATTAACAAATTTCTTACTCGACACATCTATACGGTAACTAGCTGAATTATAAAACAAGATGTCACTGTATCAAATTGGAGTACAAACCAAAAAAAAAATATATATATATATAATAAAAAAATACATTTTTTATGAATGTCCCGATGATCGCGTTAACGATCGACTCGAACAAAAGACTTGTTTCCGCAGCAGATATACATTCCAATGTTAAAAACGAACGAGTTACATAGTTTAAAAAATGATAACAAAAACTTGTTGACTTTATTTTACCAAGGTTACAACGATCTCACAATTATATACATACACACACTATTTACAGCAGCTCAATCCAATGTGCGATATTAACGTTACTCAGAGCCTCTCGACACCTCGTAGTTATGGCAGTCGCGTCCGCGATAGCAGCTCCTATATGCGTAAAACCTACGTACTTCGCTGGGCGCGCGTGCAAAGGCCAAATAAGATGCCAAATGTTTCTAGAGCCTATATACCAAGCTAAAAGTTCCACCACCCAGTCTAGAACCATAGATGCGATCAATAGTTAACGCTGAAGCCGAGACCGCACATACGTGTGACAAAGAAACAATACCATAATACGAAATGAAGAACTATGGTTCTCTGTGACATGCCTGAACTCGTAGAAATGAGACAGAGCGTCGTACACTCGCTGATAAAACCATCTCATCGTCCGCTTCGAGCGCTCGCCGCGCGCTATTAAACAGATACCAATTACAACTCGTATGGGTTTCCCTTTTCTATACTAACGGGAAGAAATATGGCCGACGGTTTTGCTTTACTATACGTAGATCCTAGCTAACAGATAATATTAACGATTGTAACTTTAATAACCTCAAGGTTATTATGGATACTGACAACAACTATTACCGTGACGCTATCACTTGAGGCAAAACCTTTATATATTCTTTTTTCCGCTGGTGATCGGGACACGGCTTTGCTGAGTTTAGGACCGAAGCTCTTGTTACGTTTAGTAGGTGCGGACGTTGTGGTATAAATGAAGTAGGATGAATTGTAAGAGTTTTGAGACGCGGCGTACCGCCTAGCATGTTCTTCGAATGTAGCTAATTTTTTATTTTTTTGTTTTTAAGCTTATACACAAGTAAAAATAATGAAATATACGTTTCTCAACCATTTGATTGTAAAAAAAAAAAGAGTACAGTAAGTTAGATTCAATGAAGGTTCCCGTCATGATTAGCTGGTAGAACTTTCCTCTGTTGTATCACTGTCATTAATATGGCGGTTGTTAGAAATAGACAACTAAGTTATGAATCCAACTGGAACAACATCATTGTCCCTTTACTTTGGCGTTCTGCAAGACGTCTCTTCCAAGCCCCTATTATTGCTGCGACTATATTATCAATATATTGATAATACTATAGGATCTGTGAATAAATTTCACCTTTCATAGCCTAGGCCGTCTAGTAACATTAGAAATCCCCTTTACGTCTTGGGGCGCCCTGCCCTGCTCGCTCCGATATCGAAGCAATGACATGTCTCCGTTGTATCGTTCCAGCCATCGCTGCCTCGTTCACTAGTTGAACCTCTGGATCTAGTTGGCGCATTCGCAAATACAAACCTACAATGGTTAGAAGTAAGGCGACCAGTATTGCGACGGACAAACCAGTCACAAATAGGAAACCCGTAGTCGAGACACAGAGTTGATTCGTGTTCATGATAACGACCGAAGCCGCTTGATCGTTTCCTGCCATAGAAACAGAGTGGACACCGATATTGGGTTTGATCAGGCGGTTTGAAGGAGAGTCCTCGGATACGTCCTCCGGGGCAATAACCCGAATACCTCTGATTAGATGAGCGGTCTCCGATAACTCATTGTTACTAGTCGACGATCGGTCTTGCGACTGAGCTTGATCGGCCTCGGCATCACGACGCAGCCTGGTTAGTAACTTTTCATCGATTACAGTCGTGTTTGAGACGCGTTCATGTCGCTTTCGAAGGCGGGCTTTCTTTGCTTCGAGGCATTTCTCCTTGTCATGATGGCACTCGTATTTGCAAATTTCGATATTACACTCAATGAACACCTCAAGCTTGTCGGGAAACTTGAAAGCTTCAAGGTACGCCCAGGCAATGGCGGATGCGCCAGTATTCGCCGTATCCCTAGTCTTTTGCCATGGACCCATAAGTTTGGGGGTAAGAACGCATCCGCGTTTATCGCTCAGACGTATTGAATTCACAGCTGCGTCGCCGTCATGAGCCACGCAATCCTTCACGTGGACGTCGTAATCATCGCCGTGGATAAAGACGACGAGTGTGAGCGTCTCGCCTATCTTGACCAATCCATTAACAGGATTCGCGTGGAACGGTCCTTTACCCAACTGGACGTCGAGGTACGAGTCAATCGAGTCACCGGAATACGTTACGGAAATAACGTCGAGCACGTCGACCAAAAGCGATGATGACACGATCCGCGATACGACAGGTCCCGAGCCCGGCTTCGGCTCGAAAACACAACGAAGCGCACGCGCAGTATCCACAGCCGACTACGAGAAACAAGCAGAAGGAAAATCGGAAACGTTAGACAGCATGCTCATTAGAGTTCATTCAGTTTATTTTCTAGCATTACATGGTTATTTTGTTGAAGACGCGACATATCTATAGTCGGTGGTTCTCACTTAGCGATTTTCCAGTAGATTTTACACACGTACATACGAAGCGATGTTTAAGGCAAGTGCCATAATGTTAATCGAAAACTAGATTTGCACGTTACGCTGGTACCGTTTACTAATGATCTTTCTGATTCAGTAGCTTAGCAGTCAGCTATATACTCTGACAACATAAGCAAACAGTCATATGTATCCGATAAAAATCCGATTACATTTCCATTATTTTCACCTGTATACCCGGAGTGTGTTGTACAACGACGGTGTTCTCGAAGTAAGCCTCGCCGTTTCCAGCGTCAATGATCTGGGACCCACAACGGCCTGCCTGAAGTGAGAAACGCCGGGTCAATGTTGAAGTATTGGGCAGAATCGTCGATTCGCTCTCTGTTTCGTTTTTACTTGTCATTTCCCCTTCGGACCCATTGCCTAATAAAGATGGATCCCCGTACCGGCATCGCGGATCCGAGTGGTGGCCTTTTGAATAGATCATACCTGTAATGAAAATAAAAATATACGCATACATTTCCAAATGCTGTCCCATACAGGAAACTTTTGAATGATAAAAGCGATGAAGGTACGATCTGGTTTGGTGGACCCTGAGTTCGATGCAACGGTACCACGTATAATGCATATGGTCATTTGAACGTGTGAAACGTAGGGAGGACTGCTTGGAGAAACCGAACCGATATGGAGATGGATAGTACATTGGTAATTTATATATATATATATATATATATATATAACTAGTTCTACTATGTTGCAAACACTACACACCAGCGTTATTATTTTTTGGTTCCATGCTATGGTCGTTGTTATCGTAGTGTGTGTATGTTTGTTTACTTTCGTCGTGCACAGTACGACGAGGCTGTGTTTGAAAAAAAACTGAGAAAATGTGTTTTCGACGAACCGAGGTTGCTGAATATCATCTGTACTTATATCGAATTGTCATGGTTACAAAACTCAAGTATTATGTAGGTGTTGATAACTGCTAACTAACTAACTACAACTATAGGGATAGGCTCATGGTGGTTATGAAATGCTGCACCTTCCCAAAGGTAGTACCTATATATGCTTTTAAAAAGCTTAGCGTAAAGCCCAACCTACCAGAGAAAGGGCTATCGAAAGTCATTGTTACGTCCATTATGTTCTTCCCACAGTTCACTCGCACGTCCGTCAGGTGCGCCACACCGATGTCCTGAAAAAATATCGTACATGCGATTTATAAGCGGTAAGTACAGAAAAATACATAAAAATATATCGATATTTTAGGAGTAGAAACACATTAGTAGTAGCGTACAGAGTAACAACAGTGTGTTAGAGCTTTATTCGGTTCGCCAAATACGCATTCTCTAGCACATTGTACTACTATTCAGGCAATACAAAGTGGCGGCCTGTAAGCTAAATAGAGCAAGGAGAAATAGGGCCACGTTTTGGGTTGTAGAAACTACGAGAAATCTTATAGTAGATATGTCTATTTCTATGACTGGTTGGTCGCAGGGTTCACTAAGCGCCTGTAACGTTGATAAGGCGACTTTTACAAAAAAAAATCCTATTAAATAGTAGTACGTGAAAGCTATCTAGGAACGTCAGGCTTAAGGCGGTCGCAGATTCATTCAATCGCTTTTTTTGAGTACCTGATCTGGTAGATAGAGTTCTTCATCATGCTCAATTCCACTTTTTGTTGGAAACGTTGCTTTTTGCTGGACTTCGTGCCGCTGCGTCCGTTGCGCTAGAGATGACACGATCGCCACTGCGTAAAGTAATATAAATGTTTTGTGGGTTATCTTGTAAAAATTCTATCTTTTGTACACTATGGTTAATTATCTGCTCCTCTGTCTGCTGTTGCTCATTATGGTCGTACAGGAAAATTACTAAGTACACTTGGTCTGCTTATGTACACATTTTTTTCCGGCTGGTTTTCAGCCTAGCGAATCTTATAATTTCGAATTTTTGACATTGCCATAGAAGCTATGCGGCACGCGCGCTCGGCCTCATAACCGCGCAACCTCCATATTTGTACCGCCGCCTATATATATATATATATATAATACTAATGTTACTGACTAGCAAAATTAACAATAATAATGCGCACATACATCAAACAAAAATATCGCACACAATAACAAAAGTATATTTTAGGTTTATTTATTTAAACTATATAAAGCAAGGATTTAGATAATATAGAAACTCGAAACAAGGGAAATAATACTAGACTCACACAGCTGCATTTTGAGTGGCAGTTAGCTATTGAACTAACATGGGCCTATCCACTTTTCATTGTCCATTTACTGCGTGCCCTATTGCGATCGTATGTGATTCTTGTGCTTGTAATTACAATTGCTCTTTTCAATGACGTTTGTTATATTTCTTTGAATTTATGCCCGCATTCGAGGGTTGCCATGTTTTTACATTACAAGTAATAGTTTGCGCATATTTATACGAGGCTTTCAATGAAAAAACTATTCTACAGAAAACGTATTTCCGAGTGTAAAAGATAACGTGGCCCGACGAGGCTATTTAATTATACCTGTGTTGACCTTTTCGACAAAGTTTACTATACGAGATTTGGCCATTGTGATTATTTCTGTAGAAGTTCGAACAGCGAAATTATACAGCGAGTAAGATAAGCTTGAGAAGGACAAGAAGCATGACATGAAGTGGACCTATGGGTGGAGCCTGAACCTAGTTGCCCCTCTTTTTCACTAGGCACTTCACATGTATCTCGAGACGTTCCAAGAAAGTTTAGACGGGGAAGCGTATATCGCAAACAGAAACACGTGACGAAAAGATGTAGTATGAGCAGAAAAGGATTGCACAGGACAATCAACGCCGCTTTCGTAATTTGTAAGGCCAAGTTACTATAAGTTACATTTCTCATAGGAACAAACTCATATATTAAATATCTGTGTCAAGGAAATGCTTGTGGAAATTCTTGCCGTTCAGAAGCGATCCGCTCCGTCTTGGCGGTACGAAAATCGATTTCAATCAGTTCGTGATTTCCTGTATATATGACGCTAAGATTGTCACGTTGGCCGACTGTCATCCAGATTGAGCGGCCCGATAAATGGGACCGAGACCTTCACAAGCTAGCAACGGTTGTCTACGAGAGTAAGGACTCTGCCTTTTTGATACGACCAATTACAGTACACGACTTATTGGTTTTTGTCAAGTAAACGCAATTTAGATATGCACGATAATCGAGGGCGCACCAAGCGGTTAATCAAACACGGAACAAATATAGGGACATGACAAATTATCAATAGTGCATGCTGAGGTAGATCCGAATTTTTGAAAGGCCTAAACCACAGATTAAAGCCGTCTTCTTAAATTGCTATATCTTATTGATGTCGTTTATGGTCTTTGTATAATAGCTAGCCTGATAGAAGGCCGACCGGGGCTTTTACGAATCAAACAATGTTTTTTAATTATGATTTGTAAATAGAAAAAATGATTAGTGCCTGAACCTGTGTCTACCTAATCGTGTTCTCCAGAGAGTCTTATATGTAAAAAATCAAACTGTTACCAGTAAAGCTAAGCTAACAATAAATGTGTAGTCTAAGGCGTTGAAGTGATTACGCTGTAGGGTGCTCTACCGACATTGGTCCTTCCGCGAAAGCAGTGCAGGATGCAGTCTTCGGCCTGCGTTACTTCCCAACTTTTGAGATCGTTTCTGGTTTAAACGACTTCGGACTGCCGCTCGAAGATCGTCGTCTTGAGCAAAACCTACCGGAATGAACTACAGAAGGACAGCATGTATTCAATACGATTAGTCGTAACTTTATGGATTTTGTTTCGATTAATTCTAAAGTTTGACCAACACACATATGAATATAAAAGATCAGCCTTTTTACAAGATTTGTTTAATTGTGTCTCACACTCATTATTGTTTTCGTGTTCTGGTCTAAATATTTCGTTATAAGTAAGACCGCTGGTAAAGGCTCTACGAAATCGTCACCCGAATTCTAAATACCTGTCTGAGCAGGACTAGAATAGCCCTCATAGTCTGCCATACATAGCATAATCGATATACAATTAACTGATACATAAACTGAAGACTGATACATAAACGCGACAATTCGAACATTTCATAAAAAAAAACTAGTGGTGAAGAATATTTTTACTCTTTTGTTACGAGAATGTGCTAGCACTACGAATCGCCAACGCAAACCTTATGAAACAAGAAATACTCTAGTATACAAGCTATAATACTAAAATTCGACCATTAATTGATAACGTCTTACAATCTACGGTAAAGTAATAATGCTAGACACAACACGCGAGGTCGAACCGAGCTCGTCAAGTTTCCTGTTGAACCTAGAAAATGAGCCAGACTCACGTGAACGACTTCACACATCAGCAGCAGTATTAAGGCTGTGGGCAATTTGACAGATTCCATGTCTGTTTCTGCCTAGTTGTTAGTTTACTGGCTGTATCCGTGGTGGAAGTATTAGATCACAGCTTCATTTGAAGACTCCTGCTTCGCAGTGGTTCATCCCGGAATGGCACACGATTTCATGTAAAAATAGAAAAGCAATTAATAAACGGATTTCATGAATTAACTTGTCGAGAAGTCATCATTCATTGGTAAAGATTAATATTGACACACTGTGAACGTAAAGTCTATATATTTACGACTTTGTCCAATTTGTTCTCTGCGGCGTCTTTTGCAGCAGATTTTGACATAGATTGCTAGCTTAAATCCTCTCTATCGCACACTGGAAACCCAATTCACTTCAACTACGCCATTACACGTACTCTTACAGCTATATAAATCCAATTGTTAATTGGTTTACGCAAGCCCGAACGATACGTGTACGAAACAAATGAAAATGGGTAGACATTTACGTTTTATACGGTACCTTCGTGAGGCCTCTTTTCCTATTCAAGGTTTAACCCGGTGAAAGAAAAGGTCTCGTTGATTCATTACAGTAGGAATAACAGATGGAAATAGAGAAAATATTAAATCGAGTGAAGGAAAACTTAGATGTACTTGGTTTAGCTGGACGCGTTACGAGATATTCGGGACCCGTGAGCAAAGCCGATGATGAACATGATAAAGAAAGCTTGCGATCTCATCTAAGCTATTATATCACTACTCTTATAACGATGCATACGTTATTACGACGTGACCTTGATATGAGTCGAAGATAATTTATCAACACTTCGAAACAGTATTAATGCTAAGCCCACCCCGAAAACCGGCTGAGGGACCTGTGCTTCATCACAGGCAAATGTCCTGCAACAGAATTTAATTCGTTTAGGGGTCCAATTTTATTTATAACGAAGCTTTTGACAGTCAACATATCTCGTTAGTTACTGATCGCATATACCTTCCGTGTATAGAATGACAACTGTTGCTTTTGATGCAGACAAATATAAAAAATTTGCCCTTTCCGAGAATGAGAACCTCAATTTTGGGCAACGTTCAAAGGCATAGAATACCAAAAGCAACGCCCCACTTTGAGTTTTGTTTTTCTACAATATCTGGCTCTACCACAGAGCTGATTGCTGGTTTGTTGTGTATATTCAATAAGATATGAAAGACAGAATATGCAACTCTTACTTGCGAAGATGGAAAAGATTCGCCGCCTGAGTGCTTCACTCAGCCGGTAAGCGAGATGTACAATGATATGTTTTATGAATATCATTCTTATCTACTTACTAGCGACTTGTGGTGTCGTTCTAGGATGGGTCGAACAAGAACTGCCACCTAAGTATTGCCCGAAACGTCTATTCCCGATCCCAACCAGTAATATTCATCTCAATTTTCTAAGCCAAACAATTTCTTCTGTTGGTGTTTACGATTTGACTATAATTCGTTCGATCTAGTCCCAAAGCAACAAAGAAAAAATGCGACAAAGGTTATCGCAAGGCGAGTTTAACGCTTTCTTGCGTCTACGGACGCGTTTACTAACGACTTCTCTCTCGACGGAAGACCACGTATTTATTGGTTCTGTCGATATTGCCGCCGCTATGACTACTAATTTTCATAATTAGTACATTGCTATACAGCTCAGGAAAGCATCCACTGAGCACGAACAGATACCAGTAAGGCCAGTGTTGTAACTGCGAGTGAAGCAAGTCGTTGGAAAAATGCCCCCCTCAGGCAAATACGTTTTAAGGCATAAGCGACCCCCTGCTAAATCAGCAGCAGCCACAACAGCAATTTTGGCGATCCCGTTCTTCCAACGAGATAATTTCGAAAAAAAAAGAGCCCTACGTCGATAGCACCGAGCGATTTGATCATGGCGGAGCTCATACGCGATATGTATGTTGTGACCGAACGCCACCTGAAGGGGAAAGAAATTTGCTTTGCTTTCGGAGTCCCGAGCGCCGAAACGGTTCATGGCTTAACAGCAACAACGAAAACAAGGCTAATGACAAATAAGAGCAACAACAGGGCGAGTTTCCGTAATTATGCCCTTTGTCGTTTACCTTCATGTCGGTACCGTAGTACAAACGCTGTGCTAATAACGGGCTTGCCAGCCCGATGTAGCATGTATACATAACATTAGCACTCATTGTCTGTGCTAAACACCAACCCTAATCGGGATGCGTTTGCGTGGACGCGTCAAAACAATTACTTGAGAACGCAACGAACGCTGGTTGATCACGCTCCGTGAAGGACCAATTTCATACATGTCGTCCAGTTAAGCTCGTAAGGCGGAAAAAAAGACAAGCATTTCATGCTGGAACGTCGACTCGTCAATGATATCAATGGACTTTGACAATCCACGCCGGAGATAAATGCGCGTCCTTTCTGAGACAAACCGCTGGTGCATTCAGTGTGGCCAACACTAAACTTATGTGCATATAGTGTCTACGTAGCGCAAGCTGTGTGCTTACTTGAATGGTGAAAATTAACTGGAAAACTTCATTAGCTCAAACGGCAATCTCTTACTCGGCCTTTCTTTTACAGTTTACGGCCTTGCTATATTGTTAGCTAGTTAGTGCGAGATGGACGGCATTAAACATAGAAATTAGTTGATCATTTATATTCGTAATTTTGTATTGCCCTTAGATAATTACTATGTACATGAACATATCATAATAAGATTACGCCCAGTTTGGCTTAATCGACTTGTTTCTGTATAAATCAGTATAACTCTTAAAGTGAAGCTTTTTGCACGGTAACTTATAGGGGTGGGCAATGTTATGTATATGAAGGATAAAAGGAAGGTAAGATGAGAGACACATCTTAACCTTTCATGTTTAATTTGACATCCACCCCAATTTTCTGGAAGTATTACATCATCAGATATTTGGTGTCCTTGCTCTTATGCGTCAGTTTCTTTCCACCTACTATTTTGTTCCCGTCACCTAATGATCATGTCTAGCAATGATTTTGGTAGGATAATCGACACATCGGGCCCGATACGCTTGACGCGGAGAAGCGGGCCGCATAGGTCAGTGTAGATGACCTGGTCCTTTTCTTTTTTCTCGCAGTGCATGCAGGCAGGGTCGACGGCTTTTTCGATATCTTTTGGAAGCATCTGTAGCTCGTTAGGATTTGGGTTGAATAGTTCGTCGTATCACCATGTTCCGCATTCATATATTTTTTTTCAATCTTTGATGGCGTGGTGAATCCAAGCTTCTGGAAGATCTGCTGCCATATTGGTTTATTCCTTTTAGCACACCTGTGTCGTCATGTCATGGACTGTCTGCTCTTTTTGGGATTCGTTTCACGCTTATTTTTTCTTCTATTATGCTTGCTCATGGGATCATTTGGACGATAGGGGTCGTCGAGTTTGCTTATACCGTTCTGTGCCCTTGTTACCCTGAGCGCTGGCAGCCTTGGCGCCTTCAGGAACTTTGTCCAGATGTGGTCGAGTTGGATGACGGCCGGGTTCCACGTACATGACAACAGATTTACCTACTGCTGTCAGAAGCCGTGCTTTACTATTTGGGGCTTCCCGTGCCCCTAGCGTGATCTTCGTTAAACTATATTATCTGTAATCTTTTCTATGCGAACTTTTCCACTAAAAACGAACTCCAAAAAATATCAAACAGACTTTTTACTTCGATGCTGACCTTATTCAGTAGCAGTTTGATTTCTCCCCGAAGTTCCTTTGTAACAAGCGGTACTGATCCGCCGCTCTTTTTGCCGGCAGGTTCCAGCTCTTTCCATGTGCCTCTATACCAGAGCGCGTTGGGCCCTTTCCTTCAGCCTATCCTTTTTTCGTGGTGGCTGACTAAACTAGGCTGTCATTGTAATGTCGATGCCTTCGGTCCTCTCGATGATGGAGGCTGCGTTATGCGCCATATTCCAGAGCAGAGGTTTGAAGATCGATCCCTGACACGGCAATCATCATGACAGTACGCTCAACCTATAGCCATAAAGAAGCGCGGCCAACAAGTTTTCGATAACAGTTTCTAAATAAAAATCCAAGCCAACATTACTCGTCCGTATACACATACTATTCGGCGCATTTCTGGCGATTCGATCATCAAGCTGTATAAAAACGTCAAGAAACAACACCTAAGTTTTACCATATTTCATTTGTAACTAGGCAAAAGTAGGTAGCACAACGACAAACACACAAATGCCAGCCGTTCTGGCCATAACGTAACGACATGTCAACTATTCGCTCGACCTGTCGTTTATTTTATCATAAGGTAGATTGGCCTCATTCATCCGTGCTACATCCTAGCCCGGTCCAAAGACCGGGCATAGCTAACGGTCTGACAATGCGGGCGCACGATCCAGACGCCGCTTAATTACGTACAGCTATGCAGACACAACTGGTTAGTAAATCGGGCAAAGCTTCAATGGTCTGCTTACGTCATCGGTGACGGTGGCATTTTAAAAGAAAGCCATTAGAAGAAGTTTAAAAGAAAGACGACCGGCGTGATCCAGCCGCCATCGCCTCGTTCCTTCGTTGGCTGTTATTGTCCTTATTTTGCTGGACAAGACAACTGATTTCAATGCGATGTCTTCGGTTGTCATCCGTGCAGCATCCGGAAGTACGTGGCGTAATGACAAACACACGAGTCACAAGATTGCAGCGAAAACAAATATAGGATTGACTGGATAGAGAAGCAAATTATTACTACAGTAAGCCATGGCTACTACTGCTGATGCTTGCCCTTAACAAAGTGTGAGGAGCACGATGTGCGGCATAGATCAATTGAGATCTACGCCAGACGTCCCAGATCGGGGGCGGGGATTGTCTCAACTGGGGTATCGTTGTGTCATTTGCCAACCATTGTTGGGCTGAGCTGTCTTTTGCAATAAACGCGGGCGAAAAGCTGCCTCTTGACAGAGCGCATCCTGTCATCAGATGGTATCTGTGAAGTTCGGTATGACGCAGGCGTTTCACGTTCACAAACACGCCGCATTATTTGGTTATCACCGATATCATTACACTGTTTGCCGGTATAGCAAGACAGATAATTAGATTAGTTGAGACAATGGAAGGACTCGTGTTTTGATCGTGATGACCGTGGGGACGACGCGACAATCGCATAAGATCA